GTGGAAGCAGGTAAAAATCACACAGAGCAAGGTCAGAGAAAATTCTAACCATTATCCATACAATAAGGGGGATGGTTTTAATTTCATTTGCAAGAGAACCACTAGGAAGTTTTTGATATTTGCTCAGGCAATATGTCCACAGTACATTAGTACCTGTAAAAGCTAATCCATAAAAAAATCGGTAAAATTTTCTAAATTAAAAAGATTTTAATTATAATAAAAAACATTAAAAATAATTTACCAATATCGTTGCTTTCTAACAAGACCGTCATAACTCAAATTTTGTTAATTTTTACTTGTAAGATCAACAAAAATTAACTGTGTGCAGTTAGGCTGACTTTCCGATATAACATTGCACTGTTGTGTGAAATGTATTAAAAAGTACCAAAAGTTTTTCAGTACAATACAAAAAGTTTCATTGTTATTTAATATTTTATTTGGATAACAGTGTCACATTTTATTTTAAAATGTTTTTTATCGAAAAGTATTTTAAAATATTCTATTTTTAGTTGGGACTATTTGTCTTGAAGGAAAAGGAAAAACATTTTTTATATGTGTCTTTTTTAGTTGTGTCACTTTTCTTCTTAATAAATGCTTAATTTATTAAATAAGGGACAAACTAAAAAAAAAATAGTTTGTAATTAAAGTTATTATTATAAAAGGAAAAAGTGCTATCCTAGAAAAAGTTTCTAATATTTTAACTCAAAAACATGACCGTCACAACTTAATTTTTTCAATTTTTACCTGTAAGGTCGAAATAATCAACTGTGAGTAGTTTAGCTAGACAGCGTTCTGACTGTTTGACACTTCTCGATACAACATTGCGCTTTTGCGTTCAAGATTGTGACAAATTAAAAAGTACCAAATTTGTTTTTTATTTTAGTACAAGTTTTTCAGAAAGACTGACACTACACAAAAAAATGTAGGTGTTATTTTATATTTAATTTGGATCGAAAAGGCAAGTATTGTAAAATATTTTATTTTATACGATAACGTTACGTTTTGAGTTGAGACTTTTTTCATGTGGCTTTTTTTAGTTGTGTCACTTTCTTCTCAATAAATGCTTAATTTAATATATAAGAAACAAATTTTTATTAAATTTCTTAAAATTACAAAATTAAATCCTTTGTTATCTCTTTCCCAAATATAATTTTCTCTTAATATTTTATTTAGAAATAATTAGAACAAGAAGATTCCTACTGTCTATCGAATATCTGCGAACTGGCTTTAATTACATTTCTAATATTCTCCTCATTCATCCTAGTGCAATAATTTATCAATGTGCTAACGGAGAGACTAATAAAATAGATCTACAACGTTGAACAAGCACACCTTGTTTCATTATATTTATTAATAAATATTCCATCTATATTTACAAGTTTGTTTCTAATATAATAAATACATCCTGAAGGTATTTTAATCCCGATAGAGTTATATGTGTTGCAATGTTTTCTTTATCAAAATCTACGAGATTTAGATAACTATATATAGAATGTTGTTTTTGCATGTTATACAAAGAGAATACTAGCAAATGCAATTAAAATTTGTTGAAGTTTGTGTTAATAAATATGATCACAATGGATTTTAACTGTGACTTCAGGATGTGAATGAGTACTTGTTACATATGTACCTGTAGGGTAAATAAAATAAGAGATTCAAAATAGATGAACCCATCTTATAAGAAACTAGAAACTCATATCCGGGAACTACAGTTACCTACCTGAATATTACTATTTTTATCAGTATATTATGATCAATTCCAACCGATTTTTCACCACGTAATAATAATTTTCCTTGTATTTTTATGTTTTCACTATCCTTACCCACCATAGTCCGGACATGTACATATATTTTATTAAAATGTAAATAAAGATATTAAGTAAGAAAGTAAGGTAACTTCAAAATTAAGTACTTGTTGTTATATCATCAAAAATTTAAGGGAGACACTATCTTTTGATACTTTAAAACTATGTTATTTTGGTTTGGTTCATTCAACTCTACAATATGGGTTAATATTTTAGGGTTCTTCACCATACTTTGAAAGAGCTTTTGTATCTCAAAAGAAGGTTCTGAGAGCCATGTATAAGATGATACCAACAACATCATATAAAGAACTTTTCAAGAAAAGGCAAATTTTAACACTACCTTCCCTTTTTATTTTTTAACTAATTTTATACATAAAAGATAATGAGCATATATTTAAGAAAAATAAAGACCTGCACTCATATGATACTAGATTAAAATTTAACATCCATCAACCTTTTTCACGACTACAAATAAGCCAGCATTCACCAAAATATATTGGGATTAAGTGTTACAATAAGTTCAGTAACATATTAGAAGATACTACAGGTATCATCAAATTAGTTGTAATGATTTGAGAAAACATCTTAATGATTTTCTTGTAAATAATGTATTTTATAGTATAAAAGATTTTTTGAACTTTTAAACTAATCTTAACATGAATTGTCCATTATATATATATTTTATTTTATTTTTTAATGTATTTTACTTAACACTTTTTTGACTAGTCTGATAGGATTTTACATTATTTACCTAGTGTCTTTGTATAGTGTATAATTCTCAAAGATGAATAAATTCTATTTCTATTCTATTCCCCACCTTTTGCCTACAATACCTCATCTTTTGAGTACAATATGCCCCACATGGTCTAACATTTGCGTTGCTGTTTGCAGGGAAAAATAAAAAAAAACTCTTATTGGTGTAACAATTCTGATTCTGTTCCTTTTATGTAACGCTCATTGCTATTTTTGACCGTTAAAACAACAATTTAAATCGTACCAATATCTTATTAAACTCCCCGTACGTATTGTGCAACAAAAATGTAATAATTCGGTAGTTTGATGTATTTTACATTAACACTCTTAAAATCAAATCCTCCAAATTATTATAATTAGCACCAAACATTCATTCTTTTTTGTGGTTAATTCATAAACAATTTTTCCTATTGGTGTTTTCCCCTGGATACGTCATCTTTCGTAACACAGAAACAAACCTTTATGGTAGGTTTGATGACCGTTGCAAGAGTGCATTCTTTTTGAACTGCTCTTGATTATTAATTCTAGGTCTAGGAACCCTTCAAAAAAGCTGTAAAAATAAAACGATTTTAAACTAATTCTATTTTTTTGGTCACTGTGTACTATAACATCCCGCGTGTACATTTTCGTTAAAAGATGTTAAGTTGTTTTAGAGTAAACGCAGCCTTTTTAGAGTCTGTCCAGTATTTGATCTTGTACATCAAAACGCGGTTATTGCCCACCAAAAGATAAAAAGAAAAATAGATTTTTTTATTTTATTTCTGCTGTTTGCGTGTTTTAGAAGTTTTAATAATTTTTGGTTGTTCTACCAAAAGAAAATTGGTCACCCTAAGATAAGTGGTGGAACTTTTAAGTGTCCCACCCTATATATTCGCCTGGCGGCACTGTATAGCCAGGGTAGGTATCGTCTGACAGTTGTAGTAATTATGTTAATAAAACAATTCAAAAGAATATTTCCTGAAAGTTTTAGCCTTGTAGAAACACGTTCATTTTAACAATTATTTTTTTATTTCTCAAAAATTTAAATATAGGTGACGTAACCACAGTATCCCTGCCAGATCCTTTATTTCCTTATTCAAAATCTACACATTTTCGGCCTTGTGTTCAACACCAAAATGACCATTGGTTCTCAGTCTATTTGAACATTTTTTTATATAAAACAGTTATTTGATTATTATTTGTTGCAGACACCAACATACAGAAGTTATGCAACTAACATATCACAAACTTGTATTTTTGGTTGCAGCAAAATGTATAAGTATCAAGTTGACAATTTAGTGTTGCCACTTATAGGAAAATATTCCTAAATCTGGGGAAAATCTGCTATAAGTAGGCAAAAAGCGAAATTTTCTATAATTTAAGGAATGTTTAAACTTCTTTGATTTTGTTATATTTGTAAAAAAAATATATTAAGCAATCACTTAAGAATATTAGCTAAGGGGTAATAGAAATTCACTTTACAAAAATAAACTTTATTAATCAATAATGGTTGAACAGCAAACAGCTAATCATGAATGTATTATTCCCGGTCTATATTTCCCTTTCTTTCTTGTTAAAACTGCGTCTGTCCACTCATCCAATCTTGTGTCAGCGAAAGACGCACCGCATCCAAAAATACTACAGGGAGTGTCTAGCGGGGAATTACACACAGAATGGCATTCTACATACTAAAAATTTGACGAAACACTGCAACTGTTTCGATATTTCTGCCTTTGTAATATGGTTTTTCTAGAAAAAAAGATTTAGTCGATCTTTGGAACTTATCATATTTATTTATAATTGTATGTACTTGTGAACTGAGGGCCGATTCCATCGTTGTGTTAAACGGAGATTAAAATGACATTGTTAATGTAAAAATGACATTTTAAACTTCGTTTAACACAACGGTGGAATCGGTCCTAAGACGATTTTGAAAATAAATAGAACAGAAAGAGAATTATTTTGAAACTTTTAAAGTAAATATTTTTACAATGTGTCTACTACTTAAACCAAATACATAACGAGTTTCTCTTTAATTTTTGTAATTTGAAAATAGTTTCGATAAAATACAAACTACAAGAACCCCAGGAAGGTAAGCAATAGCAAAGGTGAGATTTTTTTATAATACTCGAGTTTATTTTCTATATATGTTATCTTGTATTTTTTAAATAAAAAAAAACCATATTGTAGCTTGATTTTAATATGGCGAATAAATAATATTAATAAATAAGGAACATTTTAATAAAAATTTTGGACCTGGCAACACTGCAGTTGATTTGATATTGACATATCTTATGTCAGTGTCAGTAAAGTCGTGACCTTCAAATAATAAAAACAAAATGATAATGAACCATTAAAAATGCGTAAACGCGTAACCTTCATGCCGAATAATGTGATCAAGATGAAAATAAATTAAACCACAATATAAACCAGTAGTTTAAGGTAATAAAGCTTTAAGTGAACATGAATTTATATAAATCATTCAAAAACACATCCAAACTAGTAGGTACAAACCAATTTTTAATGATATGTAACCAAAAATTTGGTACAAAATCAATTGAACACAGTAATAAAGCTGTTAACGAGGCTGAAAAAATTGTGGGCTATCCTACATCTTTCTTAAGTTTGAGATGGCTGTTAAATGACGAAGTAGCCAATGTAGCTCTACATCTCAAAAAGTTGATTGGTACTAAACATCCACTACTCAACACTGCAAGGTAAGTCTTTTTTATATATATTTACATATCTAAGGTATTTATTTTTTGTAGAGAGTTAATTCTGAACAAAGAATCTCCATCTTGGGGCCTTATAGTGCTATTAACATCTAAAGCTGGTGGATTAAGTAGTAAATTTTCACAAGTTGACTGTGATATAAATGCAGGTGATTATATATTTGATATTTAATGTACATTTAAGTAAATGATAATCTGATTTTCTAGGTATATTACATAGTCAAAGGGTATTAGCTGAAATAACAGAAATGGTACGCACAAGTAATATCATTCATAAAAGTATTTTGAACATCAATAAAAATGATGAGTTTTCTGAAGATCTCCATTTTGGAAACAAATTAACTTTACTCACTGGAGACTATCTTTTGAGTAACAGTTTTAGGGAGTTGGCAGGTCTAAAAAGCCATAGGGTCAATGAACTAGTATCTACTTCTCTTAGAGATTTATCTGAAGCAGATTTTATCGAACCAAGAGACAGGTAAAAATATTATTTCAATAAGTAGTGTTCACTTCTAAAAAACCTATTTTTATAGCCAAAATAAACCTTTACCTGCCCCACCATTGTCACAGAAACATGAAATTTCAGTTCCAAATCATTTTGAAAAAGATGTTTTAACTATTTCTGAAGTATTAGGAAATGCTAAAGCAGAGTGGACACTACGGCATTTACTAGGTGGTGCCAGTTTGTTAGGAAAATGTTGTCAGGTATGAACAATATTTTCAATTAAAAACAGGTTGGCATTTTTGATTGCTCAGGGAAATTTTGAAAATGTTCAAACATAATTCAGAATGAAATCAAATAATTTAAAAAAAGTACTATTTAATAATATAAAAACAAAATGTTTGCAATAAAAAATAGTGGTTTCTGGAAGAAATATTTGCAAAAATTATTAAAAGATCCACTTGACATTAAAAATAGAGAAATTAATTATTCACATAAAATAAATTGCTTTATAAAGTTAGTAATTTTATCACACAAAAAAAACAAAGTTATTGACTAGCTTGTAATTTTATTTATGTTTTAGGCAGCTCTGATGCTGGCAGACCATTCAAAAGATCTCGAAGAATCTGGATACATTTTTGGCAGAAATTTGGCACTAGCTTTACAAATAAGAAAAGACATTTCCTCTTTTAAACCTGGAGAATCTGGACCATTCAGCCTAATTAGTGCCCCATTGATGTTTCACATTCAAGATAATCTTGAGTTTTATGATACTCTTATGGAACATGTGAAACAAGACAATATAAAGTATGGTCAAATTAGAAGTTTGATTTTAAGTGGAAATGGAATAGAGAAATCATTGGAATTGAAACAGGAATTTGTGATATGTGGTTTGGAAGCTTTGAACAAATTCCAAGAAAGCAAAGCAAAAAATGCTTTAATTAATATCTTAGAAACGGTTTAAAAAATTACTAGGACTATTTCGCTAGAAAAATAGTCAATATTTGGTCACGATTTTGATTAATATTCTGCTATTTTTCTTGTTGCAACATTTCTCTAATATTTTACAATTTGATTGGACATAAGTCTCATGAAATTAACTTTAAAATTAGAGATTTAGACGCTACAAAAATAGCTGACTATTTATCAAGGTCTTACTATATTACCCTTGAATAATTTCGTCCTTTATTGGCAGTAGATGTCAATGTTAATTCAATTTGACATTTTTGTTATCATTTGTTATACCTGGTCACCCTAAAACTTCTTATTGCTAATTACAGGTATAGTGTGTGTCTAAAAGTCATGATTTTAATAATTAGTTCCTATGGTTTAAATTGAGTATATTTGATTTTTGGTGGTATTCCAAATATGTTGTTTTCCTTATTTAGTATTTTTCATCAACTTTTATTTGAGAGATTCTGACGATTTTTGGTAAATTATTCAACTTTTTTTAAATCTCTTCATTTAAATACATTTCCTATGTTTTAGTTTTCCTTGTGTAAACTGAATAATATCTGACAGTTTAATCAGTTTTAATTTTTTAATGTTTCAGTATTTTAAATAATACATTTAATTTTAGGCAAGCTAAATATTTAGTTACTTACAAAACCTAGAAATTCAATTTTTCTATTTATTTTTTAAGATGGTACCTATTTTAATAAATTCCTCAAGGATGTTACTAGTTGCCATTAATTTATTGTTAAACATGTCTAGTCATTTTTTTGAATAAACTGTGAGTCGTTAAAAAATGTTTTATTTTTAGCATTACAATAAATATAGTGGATAATTATGGGTTATTTTATAAAAAAAGTGAACTATTTTATTTGGAAAGAGTAATTAAAAATTATTTATACTATTAAAAGGCGTTGCCTACTTGCTTGCGTCGGTCTCCTAATAATTAATTTTAACAAGTCTCGTTCATTCGAAAAAAACTTCTCTTCACACTTATGCTTATATAGATTTCTTTTTTTTTTGTAAAGTTTTAAAGGTTAAAAACAGAAAAACTTTGATAGGTACATGATCGATACGGCACCTAACGTGTTAAGATTACAAATAACATTTATTAGGCATTCAAATAAAATATTATTAATACTCATTTTATTGTTACTTTATTTCATTAACTAACGATTAGTATTTAAATCTTTGATATAACAAAAGCAATTATTATTATCATACAAGTAAAAAATATACAACTATTTAAATAACATTTATAATATATCAAGAAATATTCCCTAAAAAGCGGATAAATTAGAAATAGAATGCAATTTTGCCAAATATGTTTAAAAAACAAGCTCTTTTTAGGAAATAATCACTTGAAATGAATATTAAACAGCATTGTAAGGTCACAATTTTTATTCTTCAGCTCCGCATTGCAACAGATTCATTGCTTTCTGTAGATTATCCATGGCGCTTTTCACATCGTCATAGTTCAATGCAGATGTAGCAAATTTTGTATACTTTTGTGCTTTTTGAATAACAGCTGGAGATGGAGCATAGCCAGTCACAGCTGATTTCGGAGCAACTGCAGGTTTAAAAGGTTCAGAAGGAGTTATAGGGGCTGGTGAAGGTTCAGCAGGAGCTGGTGGGAAAAATGGAGTTGGATTGACAGGAGCAAGAGGAGTGATAGGTGAGGAAGCTGGGACGTGGGAAAAACCACCTGCATAGTTGGAATTATCCTCATTGTTAGGACCCATTGGCTTTGGAGGAATGAATGGAATTTCTGGTGGTGGTGATGGGGGCGCCATAGGTTTTTTTGCATCTGAAAATATGAGTAATATTAAATGATAGGGGCCTATTTCATAAAACTACTTAGCATATTTTGGTAAATTTATGTTAAAAAAAAAAAAAAAATAAGTTAAAAAGATAATGATATTATTTTATGAAACACAAGTATTTTGCACTTGTACATTTGCAATGTGCAAAGAGAAAAGTTGCAAAACAGTTTTGTGTATTTAAAAAATAAAAAGTTAAGTGTTTTTATAAAAAATTACTATTGGAGTGTGTATGTATATACTATATGTATTTTTTTTTTGTATTTTTAAAAATTTAAGAGAAATACATATATCGCCGTAATGTTTAAATTCACACTTTAAAAAATAAGTTATATAAAAATTACAGATCAGATGTACAGGGTGCTAATAAATTAAGAAAACATGTGGATGTTTCAAGAGAGAAGTGCCATTATTAATTTTAGAAAAAATGTTTATATAAATATTCTAAAATAAGGCCTAAATACATAATTTATCTATCTACTTTTATTTTTTGTCAATTCCTGCAAATAATATATAAATTGGATAGAGAATAAAAGTGAAAAAATCACAAAGAATGTATTTAGAGCCTGTAATAAAAATATTTCAACCAAATGCTTTATTTATCCCAAAATCTACATAAATAAAAGTGGACTTTGCCTTACCATCAAAACTGACTGGCCCAGTATACTTAGTATAGGTGGAAAGTTCTTCTTGAGATAATTGACTATTATGGACAATACCATCATCATCACCATCTTCATTGTAAGACCTTGGTGGTCCAGACATTGGAGTTTCCCCAGCTTTTAGACAATTGTGAATATATGCTGCCTTCCATTTTGCATATTTTCGTTTTTCTCTAATATCATCTGGTAATGTACCAAACTGATCCAAGACATCCATCAAAATACCAGCAGTGTAAAAAGTTTTCACTGTATTTCTGTAAATGCATGATTTTTTTAACATTTTATATTACAAATAACTCAATGAAAATCTTACTTGTTAAAAATTTGGGCTCGATCTTGCTGGTCAGCATAACTGAACAAACGTAAGGCATATTCTTCAATCAGTGCTTGAGCTGTAGTCTCACTTGTTATTCCTTCATTTTCATGATTAGCTTTTTTTGTTTGTTCCAACCAATCCAATAAGGCACGCATTAATTCAGCTGTCTGAGGAGACTTTTTACCAGGTACTAACTGGAGAGCCAATAAACATGCAGACATTCGAGCTAAAAAAATGATATCAAGATAAGTATAAATAAATACAACTAGAAAACAATTTTGAATAAATCCTAAAACACACTTTACTAACTACTAAATAAATATAAAATGCAAATGATTAAAATTGTGACAAATGACCAAAGGATAAATATAGCAACTATATCATTTTTATTTAGAAACATACCCCAATAAGCTACTACAATGTTTCTTTCGTCATGCTCATCAGCAAGTTTAAGAAGATGCGCTAGAGGTTTAACCTCAGCGGTTACAGGAGGAAATTTAACCATTATTTTTACAAAAATTGTTCTTTTTCTATGGTAAACACCATTAATGACATTAATTAAAATTTGACAAACACTGACACTAATTTGAAGCTAACTTCAGATACAGTGTTGCCGAATCGAAAATGTAAAATTTCCCTTTAATCCCAAAATTCCCACTTTATCCACCCACACAAAAATGTTTTCTATATAACTATTATCCGGAAAAGTGTAACATGTTGTTACGTTTGAAACTTTGAAATGTACCTCCTCGAGCAGAGCGAGTATATTTTTTGGTCACGTGACATCGAGCAAACCATATCAGTGGAGCAAATTGAGCTTGAATGTAGGTATTAAAAGAACGGCATCGAGTACAAAAAGCAAAATGAGGTACTTTTCAAACGCAACAAAAATGTAAATAAATTTCAACATATCAGTTGATAGTGATTAAATACATTCGACGCGTCTATTAAAAATTATTTGAAAAAACAAACTTCAAAGTCCATGCCACAGCCAAAGTTTTCGACCATTTTCCTTCTGAAAATAACTGCCCCCTAACTAATAGCGCAACAGACATTGAATTATATCAAAAGGAAAAGAGCAGAGAAAATAATTTTCAACACTCTAGCTTTGATTTTGCTTCCTAAGGAGAACGTCATAATTGGATCACATCAAATCACAATACCACAAACACATGTCATTATGTTTAAACATAAAACATGTCACATTTCAAAACATAAAACATGAAGTAATTTTTCATCTTTCAGGTCTTGATTAATACATCAATGGCCTAATGTAATAAATAAATATTATCTATTTATTAAAAAGAGAAAATTCAAGATTATTTCGCTTTGAAGTCATTATGGGAGCAAATTCCCCAAAACTATATCCACCCAAAATTTCCACCCAATGGGGAAATTTCCACCCAAACGGCAACACTGTTCAGATAAATAATAATTTTGACAGTTGATAACTCTTCTTTTTATTGTTCAAACTACACTAAACATATATGGACGTGACGTTTTTTATTAATCCCAAACTTTTCATATATAATTTATTGCATAACATGTATTTTTGAATCATTAAAAACATTAACTCAATTTAATTAGTAAATTAAATCCATTCGCTGATTGCATATGACGAAATTAAATAGTAGTTCAAATGTACTTTTGTAGTTTATTCTGCTACAATGGCTGCCGTCTTAAATTTAAGTAAAATTCATTTAAATTCGTTTAATGTACGTTTAAAAGCTGTAATTGTTAACAGAAATTTTTCTTATGTGTTTCAAGATAAACGGACTTTTAATAAATGTGTTTCTTCAGTTTATTACAGCACCAAAGTAATATTTTGAAATCTTTAGGTTATGTGAATTCAATATTTATAATATTTTAGATAAATTCAGAGAAGACAGAGAAAAGTAAGGTCAGTGGAGGTATTTTAGCTATAGCAAAAAATAAAATAGCATCAATTACTCCAAAACCTCAACCTGTTAGAGGATGTTTTCACCCAGGTGCTTCTGCATTATCAAGAGAAACAATACCTTTAAAAAACCAGAGTCCTGTAACTGGATCACAGATGATACAAGCAATGTTACAATATATATGGCCAGAGAATGATAAATCGATAAGGGATAGAGTCAAATTGGCTGTATCATTGCTTATCGGTGCTAAAGTACTGAATGTATGTGTCCCATTTCTTTTTAAATATTCAATAGATTATTTGAACGTGGGGCATACTTTAAACATGGAGACAGCCCCTGAGACGGTAGCCACTGTTGCTACAAGTTTATTATTAGGATGTGAGTTATCTAAAATATTAGAACATTATATTTTAATAATTTTGCCTTAGTTCACTATTTTGACAGGGTAATTATTTATAATAAAAAGAATATTTATTTATTCCTTTGTTTATGGTTCTCAATTTTTTAATTGTGAGCTCAACTTTAATTTTTTAAATTTGATAGATGGTATAGCTAGAGCTGGAGCAGCAGGATTTAATGAACTAAGAAACGCTGTTTTTGCAAAAGTTGCTCAACATTCAATTCGAAAAATTGCTAAAAATGTATTTCTTCATTTACATAATCTAGATATGGCATTTCATCTACAAAGGCAAACAGGTAAAGAGAGTTCATAAAGTTTTTTTAATAGATATTTAGGAAATGGCTAAATTATTTTTTAGGAGCTCTATCAAAAACAATAGATAGAGGATCTAGAGGTATAAATTTCGTTCTATCTGCTATGGTATTTAATGTAGTGCCAACAGTTTTTGAACTTGCTTTGGTTTCTTCTATTCTTGGTATCAAATGTGGTGCTGTGTTTGCAGGTACTTGCATCTTCTCATTCCCTCTTTTAATATCAATAAAATAAATATAATTTTAGGTATTTCATTAAGTTGTGTGGGTGTTTACACTCTTTATACATTATCTATTACACAATGGAGAACAAAATATAGGGTTTATATGAATAGAGCCGAAAATGAAGCAGGGAATAAAGCCATTGATTCATTGATAAATTATGAAACTGTTAAGGTTCGTTTATATATTATTTAAATAAAATTACATCCAAAATACAGACAGAAACTAATCAGAAAAGTGATACAATGAATGTGTTATTTACTGTTTACCTATTGTAAATTGTACCTAAATAATTATTTCTCTAGCTGTCCTCTTTTGTAACACTTTTGAGCTTAAAAAACTTCATACCATACCTATTAAAAATGTGACAAAGATTCTTCAATTAAGTAGATTCAAAATTCTGACTCATGAAGAAGTTATGTACTTTAGTCTGAGAACTATCTATCCAATTACTTTAGAGTGGATTTGTAGCATCACAAGAACTCTTTTATTGTCTTAAAAATTAGTATGTGATTTTAGATAGGATATCTTAATAGACATGGGTAACGCACTAAAATTCTTTGCGTTGATACACTAACTCTGGCGCACTCTATTGCGCCAACTCATTGCGTTAACGCAATTGCGTTATTGCGTCACACCACTGCCTGCGCCGAATGAAGTCGATGCACCTCGGTGTATCGCATGATACCAGTGTTATTCAGCGCGGGTTGTCCTCAGGGTTACCAGGTTTTTGAAAGAGATGATGGACAGACAGGGAATTTTAGGGGAAATAGGCGGAAGTAAAAACTACTGTGTCTATTTTCATTTTTTTAATCAAAATTACTTATTTTGTAGAAAATTCGTATCTATTTTTTGGTAAAGATAGACTGATGTGTTTCAAATAATAAGGTGAAAATGTTTTCTGACTTTGGATTTCGATTTGCGATTTCTCGATTTTCTAACTTTACATTTTCACCTTATTATTTGTAAAATCACATCAGTGTATCTTTACCAAAATTAGGTAAGGATTTCTTGCAAAATAAGTAATTTTGATTAAAAGAGTAAAAATAGACCGAGTTGTTTTTACTTCCCCCTATTTCCCCTAAAATCCCCTGTCTGTCCGTCATCTCTTTCAAAAACCTGGTAACCCTGGTTGTCCTTTTATAAGGGTCAAACCGTGTTCAAGGCAATAACGCAATTGGGAATTTAACTAAATTTTTTTAATTATACCTATGTTTAAAAATAAACGAAAATATAACATTTTTTTATTTCATTGTGTTCTTCGGATTTTACAAAGAATACAAAAATTCCCATTTATATAAAAAGGATATAACTTTTGTATACTAGTACTAGTACCCAATCAAAATGGGAAGAACTAAAAACTGACAGTGTACAAGGTTAAAATCCAAAAAATTCGACCTACAATATCCTACAAATGGTGTGACATGTTGCAAAGAACATAATTACTTGATAGATTTTGAGTAGTCTGCATTACGAGTTGCATCAATTACGTAAATTAAAATTCTCAACTCGTCACGGAAAACTGACTCAGTGCCTGGCGCATGGCGCACCAACAACTCGCGATCCTTTCGACTCAGTACCGAAAATTGCGTTGCGCTGATACAGTAACAGCTGGTGTATCAACGCCTGTAACGCATACAACTGCGTTAACGCAATAACGCAACGCAGCGCTGCGTTACCCATGTCTATATCTTAATAAATAGTATGTTGAAATTGTGGACGATGCAATATGAGGAATTAACTTTGGAGAACAAACCAACTAAAGCTGATCATGTCATCCTATTCTCTTCCAATCATCATCACCAACAAAAAATGGTATTATTCTATTGCTACATACAAATACTTTTATCCCTTTCTACATTTAAAATAAAACTTAACAATATTAAATTATTTGGAGTTTAACCTTTGTCTCTTCCTTGAATTGATCTCTATCAAACTCTTTATTACAAGTTTTTCAGCATTTTCTGCTATTACAAACTGCTTCTGATCCATTGAAGATTCTTATTATTATAATAGATGCTATGATGTTTCTGGGAATCTTTTCATAGCTGAGGGATTTGGTGTTAATATTTTCTTACCACTTGAATGGTTTCTTGGCAGTCTGTATGTGCTTGTAAACTTATAACAATGGTCAATACTGTATACTGTTTTTTAGTACTTTAATAACGAAAAATTTGAAACTGATCGTTATGATAGTGCCTTAAAGAAATATGAATCGGCAAGTTTAAAAACTTCTTCTAGTTTGGCCATGTTGAATTTTGGTCAAAGCGCAATTTTCAGTGCAGCCTTAAGTGGAATTATGTTGTTGTCTGCCAATGAAATCGTTAAAGGTAATTTATTCACGGTAAATTTCGGAATTTATCCATAATTAATTTTATTTATGTAGGAAATATGACAGTTGGAGACTTGGTAATGGTAAACGGATTATTATTCCAGCTATCTATACCTTTGGGATTCCTTGGAAGTGTTTACAGAGAAGTCAGGCAGGCTCTAATAGATATGCAAACCATGTTCACACTCATGACGATGGAAAGCGTCGTCAAGGTTTGATAATAAAACATTTTTTTTTTTCGAATATTTCGTAATGACCGTTTTTTAGAACAAACCGAATGCTCCCTACCTTTACGTTGATCCTAAAAATACTCCGATAAAATTCGAAAATGTTTCCTTTGAATATGGACCTGGTAAAGAAATTTTCAATAATTTGAATTTGACAATCGAGCCAGGACAAAGGGTCGCCATTGTTGGCGGATCTGGCTCAGGGTAAGTTCAAATGCATTGACAATTTATTCGTTTTTATAGATGTTTATTTATTTGTTTGTTTTAATGGCAAAGATTTTTTTAATATTGGCCAAGAATTTTGAAATTTTAGCCACTGTGCGCCGGTATTAATTTATCGAACATAAGTATGATATTGTTTTGGAATCGTCTTGAAATTTACAATATAAAAAAAATGTACAGGGAGAGCCATTATAAAAAAATTGTCAATGACATCATTACTCAGTATATTTCATTGTTATGTAAAAATACATTAAGTTAAGATTTTTCCTCAAAATTGTTTAGCTTAAAATGAATGTATTCCATACTTTGTGACAATGTATGCAGGGTATAAAGTAAAAAAAATTGTTTTGCTATATTTCATTTTTTAAACTTACAGTAAATCTACACTTATACGTCTTTTATACCGATTTTTCGAACCCACAAAAGGTAGAATTCTTATTGGAAACCAGGATATACGGGACGTTGACTTAGAAAGCCTTCGTAGATCAATAGCCATAGTGCCACAAGACAGTGTACTTTTCCACGACACCATCAAGTAAGTTTTTCAAAATAACACTTACTGGCATAACTGGCCATTCCAACATTTTCTAATAAACATTATAGTTAAGATGATACCAAAATTGTATGTTTTTTTTTTAATAATCGATTCCTTCTGAAGATAATTTTCTAATTACAGTTTATTAAATATCCTTTATTAGTTAATATGAGACAAAAACTACAGTGTGGGAATGAACAAGTCATGGTCCTAGTCCTGGATCTTTTACTAGTAAATTTAAAAATATGTATTTGTTTTAAATTTGAGCTTACAGCAATAAGTCTATGGTTTAATTCAAAGATTTGTGGCTCATACATACTCCTTACTCATTTTAAATAACGAATGGTTTGTTAATACCCACATTATTTAAGGTATAATATCAATTACGGTGACCTTCGAGCCACGGAAGAAGAAGTTATAAAAGCTGCACAGTTAGCAGAAATTCACAATTCCATATTAACCTGGCCCAAGGGGTATGACACTCAAGTCGGTGAAAGGGGTCTCAAGCTGAGCGGAGGAGAAAAACAAAGAGTCGCCATAGCTAGAGCCATTTTAAAAAATTCTCCCATTTTGGTGTTCGATGAAGCCACCAGTTCGCTTGATTCTATAACTGAACATGTAAGTTTTTGAAATCATTTTGATAGCTGCTTGTATAATTTTAATTTCTAGAATATCTTAAAAGCTCTGAGGAACGCTTCCCAAGGACGTACTAACATATACATCGCGCATAGATTGAGCACTATCATGGATGCCGATGAAATTATTGTTTTGGAAAATGGACAAGTTGCTGATAGGGGTTCCCATGATTCGTTGCTTCACAATAAATCTGGATTATATTGGCAACTTTGGGATACTCAAAATCAAACTCGTCGCGCCAGCGACAATGATGATAATAATAAAGAGTATATAAAAGTTAATATTTAAATAGAAGAAGATTTTAGACAATGTTACAGATTCTGGTCTGCATCCATAAACATCCGGTCTCACTTTGAGATATTCAGTCATATTTGAAATGGAGAAGACACTGGAGAATCTAAATCTACAACCAGAATCAGTAAAGGCTGTTAAAATTTAATGTATCCAGTGTAAAATATTGTACAATATAAAATTGTGACTTAAGTGGACCTGTTAATATACTTATTATTTTTTTAAGGATACAAAATGTATTGTAAATAAATGTACAGTAAATAAAATTAAAATAAGCGTAATCATTTTTTTATTATTTAGAACAATGTTTTTTAAAGCGCGACTCCGTTTTTGTTAAAAAAAATCTTTACGACCCCCTCTATTTCCTACTACTCATCATTCAAATCAAAATAGTGACAAAAATAGCGTCCCTAAGTTACAAGCAACTGATGGTGTCTCAAATTTTATCTTACTTTCTGTTGTAAGTTCAATTTAAATTAAATAAGTTCACCAATCATTTAAATAATTGCAATCTGTTTCACTAGTAACTAGTAGTACTTTTGACAGACTAGCATTTGCACATCTTTCTTAGTGTCCAATTTCCGGTAATATGAGCACAGTTCAAGAAAACTGTTAATTTTCCCTTTAACTCTTGGTTTAGGCAAATCTCTGATAGCTGCTATTTTCTCCAGGTCAATTTTGATTCCTTTCGCGGAAACGATGTGTAGGCTTCCGATTGGAACAGTGAACATTTGTAGTGATTAAGCTTTAGATTGGCATTCCTTAATCTGTCAAATTCATTAGATGTTCGTCCAAAGTTTTTGACATGATCATTATGTCATCGAGGTATACTAGATAAGTGACATTGCACTTTTATTTATCCATTTTCTATACCAGCTGTAGGGTAACAATATTTTGTAAAATATAGGTTTTACACAGGGAAAACAAAAAATTTTTTTTTACTTCTTGAATACTTAAAATCAAGACGGACATAATAATGCGAGGGTATATCAAATATAAACGGGACCGTTTGAATTAAAACTTCCTGAGCCATTACCTCTGGGGAGGGGAGAAAACCGATCAAAATTCGCTTGCGTCTCTTTAGCATGCAAAAAAACCATGAGCGGAAAAGAAGTACATGTTTTCGTGGAGCAACGGATTATAATAAAGTTTTTGGCAAAAGAGGGCGTAAAACCAACCAAAATTTTGCGACGATTGCAGTCACAATTTGGGGATAACACTCTGTCAAGAACCCGTGTGTTTGCATAGCACCACGAATTTTCTGGAGGGCCTGAAAAGGTACAGTTCATCAAATTTCTAGAGGCTTTCGACGGCTAGACAGAGAAAGCACTACTGACAGGCATCCCGACGGATTTACGCAATGAAAGTACACTCTGCGCATCAAGTATTTCACTATTTCATTCAGACGTAAATGTCAGATGTAAATTTCGCTAAAACATTTCTTTTATTTTCGTTTGTGTTTTTTGCTCATTACAGTTTAATAGAACCTAAGTATGGAGTTTAATAGCAAATTAAGAGGCCGCGTGATTAACAGTCAATCTCGCGAAATAATAGCCAATGTTATAGAGTTTATGAGAAGAGAAGGAAACTTTAATTCACCTTCAATATCATTTAAAAATGTAAATGATCGTGTTGCTGCAGCCACAGGAGTATCTAAAAACACTGTCGTCCGCATTTCTGGAGAGAAAAAAAGAATCGATAACCGTGAGATATCGGAATTTTCATCACCAAGAAAAACCATTAAAAAACCAAAAACAGTTAATGATATAGATGAAGCTGCACAAGAATCAAATTTTATTTTTTTATTATTAGATAGCTATTTTTGTTTCTGAGTTGTGTTCATTTACAGGCTCAATTTTTTTCCGTTTCTCCTTTTTGATTTTATATGGGATTTCAAGTTGTTTTTGACTTATTTCGACGTAAATCACAACAACACACTTTTTTAATAAAGCAAACAAGTGTTAAGAGGTATATGTACGTGTAAACTACAATTACAAAAAATTGATATGAAACCACTGATCTGTATTATTTTACTGGATAGGATATAGCCCCCTAAAAAACGTTCCGAAAAATTGGCCGATTTGGGCAAATAATATGGCGGACCGGATGTTATTTAACGTAACCTCTATTTCCATTTGTCATCACATTTGTCATTTAATTGTGTCAACAAGCTACGATGAGATGTTTTTATTGTGGAAAACAAAGTAAAAATAGTATGAAATAAACAATAAACGTTCATTCCTGAAGACACAATATGCTTCACGTTTCCATTTTTATATTTTCTTTCATAAAAAATCAAATCATGGGTGAAATTTCCCGAAGGACATCGCCCGCAAAAGGAATAGAAGAAGAATAAGAAGAAAAACTAATCAAATTATAGGTTAGGTATGTCAAATTATCCCAAATTTCAGCTCTGTGAACCCACTATTATTTGCCCAAATCGGCCAGCATTGTTGCACTTCCGGTCTCCTTGGTGGAACGATTTTTTAGTATGTTAAATATAGCCTATATCCTATCCAGTAAAATAATACAGATCAGTGTATGAAACCCATGAAACCACCAACAAAAATGTAAAGCTAGCTTCCGTACTAGAACATGGTGTCATTCGTCGAGATAATTTATCGTTTTGTTTAATAGATCAAGAAATGTAAATATTCCCCTTTTATTTTTTATAAAATTATAAGAGAAATAAATTTTTTTCTAAATAGTATAGTTTATTATTTTGTAGAAAAACAAAATTTCGAAAATTTTAGTAATGTTTCAGAAACAACCGTTATTAATAATAGGTACCATTTTCCTTAATAAGGTAGAAATAAAATATAAACTATTTCCACGATTTACAAAGGCCTACAAAAAAATTATAGGTATTTTCCGCTATCCTATAAAATTTATATTTTCTGACTCAATTTCAAAAGCTTGAAGGAATTCCAAAACACCTTTTATGGCATAATAATTATTTTCAATTCTACATACTATCTTTAGCTGCTTTTAAAAACGTTCTAAGAAAGTCCAATCAGACCAATTTAATCCCTAAACTATTCCACACTTTTAAAATTTAATTACCTAAAAATATTAAAAACTATTTAAAATAACTTGTTTAGCAGACTGTACAATAGCTATCTTAGTCACACGTAGCGCGTTCTCTGTCTGGGCGTCGAACACCTCTAGAAATCTGATGAACTGTACACCCTTAAAAGCAAAGACGCGATTGTCAGCCGGAAAGGTAATGGCAACAGTGGTTTTTGATCGGCTAGGTGTTTTTTACGTTGACTTACTACACGATTAATGCACAATATTGCTGAGTTACTGAAAGTCACAAAATTGTCATTTCGCAGAAAAAGGAAGAAGCAGTCGGTCAGAAATGTCATTCTTTTGCATGACAACGCCAGACCTCATGTGGCTATTAGGCATTCCAACGACCTGTCCAAATGGCTACCAGTGGGGACTGACAGTTTTAGATGTGGCAACCCTGTTGTTATGTTATCATTAACAGAGTCAATGATACATATATAGTTATATAGATTGCTCTAAGCTAGTCGTTTGCGAGCGGCCATATTGCCTGGAAAATATTTATTAATTTGAATCGGTTTAGCAAAAATGTGTTTTAAAACCAATTTTCATCCTTTAGATATTAAAAAAAAATTGCTTACATTTTTACTTCAAGACAAAAGCTTATGTTAATTTTAAATGGATGGATGATCAATCTGTGTAACTATAATCGGGTGGTCGATGGTGTAGCGGTCTATCGCGCTTATATTCATTTATAGGCGAGTTTATGAGTTCGAGACTGCTGGGCTTCGAATCCCAGACCAGACCATGTGGATTTTTAATTAAATTGCACGGTTCGGTTTAGGATTTGATGTGTGCCGTATTAATGGAAATTCAATTTCTGTTGATATGACATGCAGATTATAAAATCGCCATACATGATCGTCTCGATGATGGTGGGTGAGGTTTTCCGGGTTTTCCTCACCTGTAAGTCAAATGGCACCACCAATCATCCTTAAGTCGCCCCGGAGCGCCACGGCAAATAATAATAATAGCCGTCTCTTCCCCTACACAAGTCTTTCAGTCGACTTCAGGTGTTGAAATTCACTCGTAAGGGGGTGAATTAGGGAGAGTATTATTATTATTATTATTATTTCATTGACCTTGTCAAATCACCAGGCCTACAGGGTTGCCATAATTTTGCCATATCATAACCTGTCAAAACCCACTGGTAGCCATTCAGTTTGGAATCCCTAATTGTTACGAGGGAAAAATTGGAAACAATTGAATGAGAAATACTACTGGAACATCCTCCCTAAAGTCTAGATCTTTCCTCTTGTGACTTACTTCCTTTTGGACCCCTCAAAGAATCGCTTGGAGGCCAGTGTTTCGACGATAACGAAGCGGTGAAAGCATTGTGCTCCAATGGCTACAGGAATGTCCGAAGAGTTTCTATGATGCTGGAATAAAAAAGATACCAGTCCGATGGGAAAAACGCATTTTTAGGGGGGGAATGTATGTAGAAAATTAATGTATGTTTGAAACCTTATTTAAATAAAGCTAACAAATTTTATAAAAGAAATCCAGTTTATAATTGATACACTCTCGTAATACTCGATTATGGATTCCGAAGTGATGCAGAACTTTTTATCAAGAAAATTTGTTTTTTTTTATATAAAACGCAGTGTAATGGATTGTGAGGTGTTCTTCCTCCGCAGGGGGTAGCAAGTGACCGATGCTACTTGGGTGTGACGACCCCACGGACCCTTAGTCCCCTGGCAGTAGGATAAAAATGCCGTATCCACTGCGTCAAACGGGAAAACCCATGAAAATGGAGACAAATCGAGGCATCAAAGAAAGGTCGATGGTTGGGGATCGCCAGGGAATGTCTGGAGCCGGTGTTGGACTAGCAGATATACTTAAGCTACTGCAAGTCGAAAAAGTAGCCTATTATAAATATACTTCTGAATCTGTTTTAGAAGTTAATAATTATAAGATCTGCTGGGACAACACTGTTCTCACAGACCAAACATTATATTCTTTTAAATAAATGAGCTAAAGAAGCAACGCTTATCGACATACCCAACAACATTTGCAGGTCAAACAAGCGTTGAAGATTGCCAAGTACCGAGATCTACAAGAGAACCCGACAAAAGAGGAGAATGGAGACTCTTAATAGCGTTGCCTATCATTGTGTCATCAATAGGAGTCATCCCAAAGAATCTGCCAGTGATCATCAAGGAACTAGGATTAAGTGAACACCTCTTCAAATCGTTGGTATAGAAAAAAAAATCACAAAACGTTATATAAATAGATACTTTATTTCTGTTTATACCAAATAAACATTACAAAAATAAAAAAAAATAATTTGTAGGTACGTAGTGAAACCAACCAATCAACATCACCCGATTAACTGATCTATCTCCCTAGAAAAATTCTTTTTGTGCATCGGTAGGTCATCGAAATCCAAACTGTCACCATCGTCTATCGCCTTTAATGTATCTAACAATTTTTTTCTGTCAACAGAAGAACCGAACTTCGGCTCTTTATTTATATTTCCGTTTTTGTCCGGTTTGCCTTCAGATAGAATCGATTTTAGAAAATCGTCGTTTAAAGGGTCGAAGTTCAGAAATGATTTGTTTAGTTTCTTCTCCAATTTTTGGGTTTTTTCGAACGTTTCTATAATGGAATTTGTGTCGTTCTTGGATACCTTTAGGCTCTCTTTTTGTGCATCTACCTGTACAAATAAAAGTAATAATATTATATACAGTATTTTCTTAAAATTAGAGGTTACTATATTATGAGTATAAGTAGTTGTTTGTGTTATAAAGTAGCTGTACTATAATTCAGGACTGATAGGTGACGATCGCCCTGTATTTTTGTACGTTATTGCCCTGCAGTTGAATTCGATTTCTTTCGTTTTATTTTTGTTTACGTTATCATACGGAATAAGTAAATAATAGTATTTTCCTACAATCACTATTCAAAGTAGGATTTTGCGGTTCGAAATCCAACTGTAAAGTTGACGTTTTCCGTGAACTGACATTAAATGACAGCTTTGTCGCTCGTCAAACATATTATACATCAAATAAATGTAAGAATTTGTATTCTCTTTAATTTATATAAGGTCAATTTCCACGTGAAATCCGTAATATTTTACATGCAAGTACCAAATATCAAAACTGCACCAAAAGTTTCATCTGGTGCCTATTTTAGATAACAAAATGATTGGGAATTGAATGCGTTTGTTCAACATGTCAAAAAAATGTCTTACCCTGTCTGAAAACTCTCGTACATCATGCACAACATCCGAACAGTACGTTCCCATTTTTTTGTCAAACTCGCTATCGACATTTTGTTCCGCTTTTTTAATAGCTGCATCTAATTGTGCGTTTAATTTTTCCAAAGTTTCCTCCTCGACAGGCGGATCGCATTGAATATTTTCTTCGGCTAATAGGAAATTATTCAACGATAATTCAGATCCATTATCTAAAAAATAATTTTAAAATGAATAAAATATTATAACGTTAACTAGTAACGTAAACTGAGGTTACTTTGGGACACTTTTTGACGCGGTTAGGAATAAATATATTTTATGCTTACCCGACAGTCTACCATAGTCATCCTCCCCGGATAAATTACTATCTTCTCCACTTTCTCTGGATTTAGAACCACTAGACGATAGTCTATTTTTGATATTCTCCGAGGGCGAATCCAATATTCCGTTCGGCTTTTTAAACGATTCCTCCTGTCGACACTTGATCGGTTCCAATTTGATATTCGAAACGGGCGTTTTTTCCGGAACCGACTCAGAGTCGTCTTCTATAGTCGCCAGTTTTTCCACGTTTTTGGATTTCTGCGATCGGTACGTGTTTAGGTTGACCATCGAGACGGCTTGAAGGCGGGTGAATCGGTTTTTTCGGGGATGCACTACGTTTTCTTTTGTCTATAATATAAAACATACAGCGTGTAAAAAAAGTAAACGTAACTTGGAAATATTTTGATTTCTGATTTACTGGCTGCACCATTACTCCAAAATAACGCGAGGATATATTTTCCACCCTGTTTATGTTTTTTTTTTATATAGTTTTAAATACATTCGTTAAAACCGTAACTTATTAATTCGAATATATAACAAATATATCTTTGATTTATTTTGGTGTTAAGCTCCACAATTTGAAAACGTTCCATTCATTTCGAATATTTTTTTTTAAACATTTATAATTTCGCTATTAAAACTGTTAGTTTTGATACTGTTCTCATGGATATTAAACACATCTTTTAGCTTCTAATCTCGAGCACACTATCGTTTATAATCTACATCAGGTTATGGGCCCAGAATAGAAACCAAAAAATATTAATTAAAAAGAAAAATAAAAACTTAATTTTGCCATTGGTCATTGGCATTTAAACTATTTTTTATTTAAATACGTAAATAATTTCAAAATATGGAAATGCCATGGATTTTTATCGAGAAATTGGATGGGCAAGTTAATTGAGTTAACTGGACTTAATGCATGGGAGACATTTAATGTAAGAAAATTAAATCCGTTTCACCGTAAATACAACTTTGTTTGAACTACTTACCTCTAAAAGTCCTGTCAGTCGCTCAATCTCTGTCAGAGCCTGCGTCAAATCTCTTTGACTGTTCCTGTATTTCATATTTTCATTATTTAATCTTTGCTTGGAAGTTTTCGACTCTAAAACCAACTTTCTATTCAAAATACTATTGAACTCCTCCACCTTTAGAAGTTTGAGCTGTAGAGAAAACAAAATTAAGCTACCTACACTGAGAAAATAGCCTTAGCTAAATAGTTATTATCTGGAAGAGTTAAAAAATTACTTTTACTACCTTCAAATCTTCTATTTGCTCCAACAATTTTTCTTTGTCCACCAATCGTTTGTCTTTGCTTAATCTGTCGAGATACGCGAGCCTTTCTTGATTTCGTAAAAGTTCTTCGTCTCTGCTTTTCACCAATTCCGTAAGTTCGCGAATTTTAAATCTTTGCGCTTTGTTCTTTTCCGTTAACATTCGAATTTGCTCTTCGTGTCCGCGTAACAAACGAGGCAGATCTGCGTTTGTGTTTTCATATCTGAAAATTTGTAAATTTAACAAATATTTGTAAGTAGAATAAAAAAATGGTAAATATGTTTATCTACCATTTTGAACATAATTTTAAAAAATCGTACAAAAATTGTGTAATTTATAATATTTTTATTATCTCTCTTTATTTTAAAATCAAAAATTATATAGATCACCCTGTGTATATCATAAACGATTTGGTAAGTAGTGCTTTATGTAATGTTAAATATCCATTATACATATTATCTTTCAAGTTTAGGTACTCAGAAATACTCAGTGACTAAAAAAGTACAGCTTGGTTTTACAGTGAAGTGTAACGAGTTCTAAAATGTAGAATCCATTTTTCGAAGTTTTCGATCAAGTATACATGACTCAAAAATGTATTCTTGATTGTAGAACTCATTACACAATGGTCTTGAAACTTGTAAACTTGATCTAAAACTCCCAAAAATGAATTACTGATAGAGAACCCGTTTGAGAAACTTTTATACTTAATCTAAAACTCCGAAAAATGGATTCTTGATTGTAGAACCCGTTACAGCGGTGTTAATTGTAATACCCGTCTTGTATACATAATCTAGAACTCCCAAAAATTGATTTTTGATTGTAGAACTCGTTACAATGGTTTTGAAACTTGTATACTTGATCTAAAACTCCGAAAAATGAATTCTTGTTTGTAGAACTCGTTACAATGGTGTTAATTGTAAAACCCGTCTTCTATACATGATCTAGAACTCCTAAATATGAATTCTTGATTGTAGAACCTGTTTACAATGATGCTGAGACATATACTTTATCTAAAATTCCAAAAAATTAATTATTGATTGTAGAACTTGTTACAATGATCTTGATTATAAAGCCCGTCCCTTTATACATGATCTAAAGGTCTCAAAAACGGATTGTTAATTGTAGAACCCGTTTACAATGGTCTTAAGACTTGTATACATCATCTAGAACTCCCAAAAATAGATTATTGATTGTATAACCCGTTTACAATGGACTTGAAACTTGTATGCTTGATCGAAAACTTCGAAATATTGATTCTTGATTGTAGAACTCGTTACAATGATATTGATTGTAAAACTTGTCTTGTATATATAATCTAGAACCACCAAAAAAAGGATTCTTGATTGTAGAACTCGTTTACAATGGACTTGGGACTTGTGTACTTGATCTAAAACTCCGAAAAACATATTCTTGATTGTAGAACTCGTTACAATGATCTTGAATGAAAAAACCCTTCTTTTATACATGATCTAGAACTCCCAAAAAAGGATTGTTGATTGTAAAACCCGTTTACATTGGTCTTGAGACTTGTATACTTGATCTGAATTTCCGAAAAATTGATTCTTGATTGTATAACTCGTCACAATGATCTTGACTGTAGACTCGTCTTTTATACATGATCTGGAACCCCCAAAACGGATTCTTGACTGTGAATACCGTCTTGATTATTTACTATTTTTTTTTTAAAGTACGTTAAAATACTGAATATAATAGGAAAGTTTTGTTCCAAAATACAATACGATTATAAATGGTATAATAAACATAATTACTTAATAATTATTGAATGAAAATATAAATGATTAGTTGCAAAGCATAAAATTATAATTGTTTTCTCGCTTGCAAGCGGTAACCGTTCTACTGAAATCTAATCTTGACACTAGGAATATTTGTGAGTTACTTTGTTTAACTGTTGTGGGTTACTTATTTTATTGCCTAGATTTCTTTATTAGTTAAATGTCACTAAAATGGCATATTTAATACCAATCAGAAAAAAAAGGATTTACTCACTTTGATAATGCTTTATCTTGACGTTTTTGTAGATTTTTGAGAATTTGATTTTCCTTACTTAATTCCTAAAAAATAAAAAAATAAATCACCGCAAAAACAAAAATATTAAATAAATAGTTGTATCTCTCCCTTGATTTTTATTGTATATGAGGTGTTAATTTAAAAACTTCCCTTGGAATCTACCCGCTTCGGACAATTTTTTATATTATATTTTCTATTAGGAGGCAGTATTTAAAATGATACTCTGTATATTGATCAGCAGCAAATTAAGCACTAGAGTATAAATTTTGTATGTTTTATTAAAATTCTTGTTTTTGTATACATTTATGGCTACCCAAGGTGATTACGTCAGAAATATATTAATTCCATACCAATATATAATAAAAAAATGCCAGGATGGTAAGGACAAAAGAAAAAGTGAAGCCAAAATAACAAAATGTTTGAAGCGATTCTCTGGAATAAGAATAGAAAAATGATGGTATATAAACGTCATAAAAAGCATATTTTCAATTAAAGTATATTGAAAAAAAAAAAATAATAATAATAATAATAATAATAATTAATTAAAAATAATGATAGTTACTTACAGACAAGTGATAGTTCGCGTCGTTTAATTGACTTTGTAAAGATCTAAGTTTTAATAATTTAGCGGACAGCACTCTCTGCTTTACTGTATTGCTTACAGGTGTAAATTTTGGATAGTTTGTTCTGTTCGAGTACATCAGCGGATTTTTCGGTTTTCTCTTTTGTAAAAAGCAACTGGAATTTGTTGTACATACTGAATTACAACTATTACTCCTATAAAAATATACATATTAATAAATAAATACCAAAATATTTCGTTGTACCGTAAGTATAATAATAATTAAAATAGGCAAAAACATATTAAATGAAGAACTAATGGTGAAAAAGACATAAATGTACATTACATTAGTTATATTTAAAAATATTTCAGTGGACTAATAATAAACCATATTTCTTTGGTGTATTTTTAGCTATTGAGATGCGATTTTTGTAGTATTTTTTCCTAGCAGATTTGATATTTTGTCGATAAAATATTCTATAGTTGTTGGTATAGTTTAATATTAGAGGATTTTCAACATACATAAGCGATCTCATATTTTTAGACGAGCTTCTTAGTCCTTTAGTTGTCCGTTAATATTTTCAAAAAGGCTATTCCAATCGGCAACTAGACAAATTATAAAAATTGACAAAATTATGTTGAAAGAAGATTCTACCCAACTGACAGACTTTTTGGCAAAATCTACTTCGTGGTCTTAGAGACTTGAGCTAATTGCTTGGTGCTCCACATCAGCGGGTTTAAAATCAGAGACTACGTAATCAATAATTGCCTTTGTTGAATCCAGGGAAGAAAGAAATATTCATTTAAATAAATGAAAATAAAAACAAATCTTACAAGTTTACTATAGAAAACTCTTAAAAAGGGTATCATAGCGAAATTTTTTAAATGAAGTCTCTAAAACTTTAATACGTTTACATTATAATTAATTAAAGAATATAAACGTCTAAAAATGTGTTAGTATATAATGTATTTTGCAAGATTTATAATAAAGGTACCTTAAAAGAGATTATCAGAACATGTTTTGGTATTCTTTTATTCACAATTCTTATTTTTAGACCCTTGTTCGATTTACTGTCTCACGTCACTTCTTTCCTATTACATTTCCTCAAAAACGGAGCACTTACCTGTGATCATCGGAGTTGGTAGACTTTACAGGTACGGACACTGAACTGCTACAGCTGGTCATACCTTTCCCAGGTAGTACTTATTTTTAAAAAATTGTATAAAAACGATAAGGCTCAATCAAAAACTGCAATGCAGAAATATGACATGTTTGTATTCAGCTTTCATTGGATTGTTACCGTAGTAACGGAAATAAGGGACAATGGGTTATGGTTATTGTAGCGATGACCTTTGTATTTATGTCTGATTAATAAAATAATAGCAGTGTGGAACGATGTAGGTTAATTATAGATAGTATTGTTTGAACGGTTAATTCCATTTACTTGCGTTCTTTTTTTAGTTTCTTTTATAATCGATTCTTTATGGTTATGATTATACAGTATGTCTTAGAATATGTGGGCAATCTCCCGGATTCAGATAGAACACATAAAAATAACATGACAAGTTCTTATATTTTTTCCCTACGACTTCCCTTTTCGGATATATGGTCCCATAATGGACTGGAATGGACTGAAAGTCTTTTTTTTAATAATTTTCAGTCCTTGGTAAAATTTAATAATTTTTAGAAACGACTGGATAAGTCTCCGTAAAATAGTAAAATTTGATATAGAAATAGAATTTATTCATCTTACTATACAAAGACACTAGGTACATAATGTAAAATCCTATCAGACTAGTCAAAAAAGTGTTAAGTAAAATACATTAAAAAATAAAATAAAATATATATTTAATAGACAATTCATGTTAAGATTAGTTTAAAAGTTCAAAAAATCTTCTATACTATAAAATACATTATCTACAATAAAATCATTAAGATGTTTTCCTAAATCATTACGACTAATTTGATGATAACCTGTAGTATCTTCTAATATGTTACTGAACTTATTGTAACACTTAATCTCAATATATTTTGGTGAATGCTGACTTTCAGTTTTTGTTTGTTTTCGTTTTTCTATAAAAACTGGTCTTTTATTATCACTGATAGATAAGTTTTGATTTTTATTGTCAACTCTTATAAATTTAGGATTAATTTCGTTATATTGTGTTTGCAGATCAGAATATTTCGTTTTTTCATTTTTAAGTTCAACTTTTAAGATTTCTATTTTTTTACTCATTAATTGGTTTGCTAGTTTTTGTTCTTCTACTAGTAATTATAAAACGTTGTAAGCATTAATGCAAAATACATCACCTTTTCTTTTTTCTTGATCCATAGTCTTAGATTTTTCAAAAACTTTTGGTTTACAGCATCTTATGATAGCATTCTTTGTGCACGATGGATGATATTTCAAGTCACAGATTTCACATTTTACACTAGCAGTTACTGATTTTTTACAATAATGACATTCATCAGTATTTTGCGCGTGCGGTTCAGTCGGCCCCATCTTGACTTTCTTTATTTCAAGAAAAATTACTAATTTTATTGAAATTGAAAAAAAAAAGGTTTGACTTAGACTCTGATTATTCAGTTGTAATTCGAACATTGAGTGAAACGGTTATTAAAAGAGCAACCCGACTTACTCAAAGAAGAATTAACAAACTCACCTACAGAACTTCTCACCAGATGAAGACACAGTTTGCTCTCTGTGGAAAGTCAAAAGAAAAGTTAAAAGACCTATTAGCTTCATCCCTCCCATTAGAAGAGATAACGGAGTATGGGACAGAGATAATATAAACAGAGAGCAGATTTTTTATCTCTATTCGGTTTTTACATATTGTGCATTTTTCCAAATTTTCACTTGTTTTTTATCTCTCCCTTAAATAAAAATTACATTTCATTTTAAATCGATAATAATAATACTCTGTATTGTATAAAATTCTATTTCTCTTTTGGATTGTTCTAGTTTCAATTTTTTATCTCTATTCGTTTTTACATATTGATCATTTTTCCAAATTTTTTCCTCAAGAGATGGTTTTCACTCGAGTCTTTTTCCTCGAGGGGTGGATTTATCTCAAAGGAGGTTTTCTTCAGTCTTTTTTCTCGAGATATAGTTTTCTCATGCTCATCAGAAGCGGCCCTGCCTTTTCTGTTGCCTGAGTAGACAGACATTCTCTTATCTGTCAATTATTGTTCAAACCGAAGGTATTTCTGTTTATATCTGTGCAATGCACCAAAACAACAAGAGCAATACATAAATAAAACATTTTATGCTTCCACATCTATTTATTTATATTAACTACATTGAATTGAATAAAATTTATAATTTTAACAGCCATTAAATCCTTTTGAGTGAATTTTTTTTTCGTTTTTGTTTGATTTTTAATTCACTTTATAACATATAATAAAATTTTAACTTTCCTTTGGAAAATACAAAAACTAACGAAAATAATATAGATAAATATTAATTATTAAAAATAATACTTTACAATTATTAACGGCGAAGAAAAAATTTTATAGAAAAACAAAAAGGTGTAGTAAAAAAAACGATAATAATCATTTAGAACTCCAACTTATCTATCCTACATTACATTTAACATTCAATACATCAAGCAAAAATGCAAATATATAGGCGAGCTGGATGTTAAAAAATTTCCTACTAAATTTAAATTTAAAAAATTGACAGCTCATGTAACGTCTAACAAAAAAGAATAGGATGAATATTCTTTTATCTGGTCGTGTGACGAAGTAACAGATATATATGGCATTTAACGTGTTAAAAATAATTGAGTGCGTAAATATTCCAACTATTCTCTTTTGGGCGAATTCTTTTTTGCTTAAAGCTTTCATATCGACAATAAAATTATTTTTGCGGTATATTGCATTATATCGCTAATCATAAGTTTTGAATAAATTAAATTATTTTTATTAATTTTTGAACAACCATTATTAATAGAAGGATCTCTCCTATGTATTTTTATTGTCAAAAATTGTACGTTAAAAATGATTAATACGAGAGCTTATGTAACCTATATTTTTTAAAGTTTAGGCAAATTACATTTTCTTACTACTTTATATCAATTAAATATATAATTTTTTTTTTTAAGGAAAATAATATTTTTTGACTGAAAGTCGTATACTATATATAATTAAAAAGTATGTTATACTACTTTTGAATAAATAGAAATTTTTATTATCTAGCAGCTCGAAACTAATGGGGCAAATTGTCGCTTTTGTATTTCATGGCATTTTTGTGAGTGATACTAAAACCTCTCCAAGGCCGTAGCTAGATCGGGGCACATAGGGGCAATGCCCTACCTTAAAAGTCATCGCCTCAAAGTAATCCTTATTCATGGGAACACGTAACACCGGCAACTTGTCACGTTTAAACTGATTATATATCATTATTGCTCTCTTGCACTTGAGTTCGAACGAGCCTACCAACATGGATGAATTTAGTCAAAAAATTATACAGTTCATTACTCAAATCATACCCGAGAAACAAAATGTTTAGCCCAAGCTGGTGGTTTGTTCGAACCACTCTTGTATTGTTTTTTATTTGATAAAAATATTTAATTTTGAGGTATTTTTTTACCAGTTTTATTGTTTTATTTCTCATGTATGTTATGACAGAGGTTGAATCAAATAAATAAGTTTAGGAGATAAAATAATATCTTTCATTTCAAATAAATTATTGTAATGTGAGCTATTACCGACCAATCTGGTCATGCTCTGATCCTTTAGGTCCTTCTGTCTTGTTTGGGCCTTAAAACCAGAAAGATATAAACCCCCTTTACCCAACTATAGAGACGCCTATTTTCATAGATAGCCGGTATGAATCGTTTATTTCGGTATATACTAGGAAATTGCCGGACACACATGTCTAATAAATGGCGAGAACGAGAAAAATCTAACGTATACACCAATTTATGTATAAATGGGCTGTGTTGTACAGGAAGTCCTTCAGGCGAAGTCAAGTCATAGCAGTGATAAATCGATATAGCGCGTGCTCTTGTTAATTCGCAATACCCATAAAAAAATTTAAAATTTTAAGCTGAATCTGTTTATTAAAAAATGTAAAAGTTTTCTATTAGAGGCTGAGGAATTATCAGCTCGCCCTCGTATTTAGCGGATCAAAAGCTACAAATATTATATACAGTCTGTTCGCTATACTTACGCGGGTGGAGGATTAACAAAATTATGCAAATCAGTCATTGACAACCAGTTCCAATAAGCCTCTTCCCAAGAAATTAGGTAAAATTGCCCTAATGCTCAGATTTAAACTAAAATAACATTAGGGTAGGTAACTAAATTTGTTACAAATATTGCAGTTGAATTGATTCTTTGCAAGTGTTAACATTGTATGTATATTGTAAATTTAGTGGAAATTTTAAAAATGCCTAGACGTGTGTTAGATGTAGATAGTCTAATTTGTAGTGTACATAAGTATTTTACCAATGGAGAAGGGAAGCGACACATAATTTTACATGCAGGAGGGAAATCGGGTTTTATAGAAGGTGCTGATTTAATATTTTCATCTAAATCAAAATCCAGTGACTATCACGATAATATGAACAAAGAAATGTTTGTAAAATGGTTGCATGAAAAACTTCTCCCAGGTTTAAGTGAGCCCAGCGTAATTATTTTAGACAATGCACCTTACCATTCTGAAGTATTAAACAAAAGTCCAATGAATTCATGGACTGTTGATAAAATTAAAGAATGGTTGACAAAGGAACATATACCATTTCCTCAATATATATTAAAATCAGAATTATTACGCTTGGCAAATATACACGCAAAACCAAAAACCTTTGTTGTGGATCAGATTATTGAAAGTTACAGTCATCAAGTTTTACGTCTGCCACCGTATCATTGCCAGTTTAATCCCATTAATATATGGGGAATAGCAAAACAATATTATGATAACCATATTGGGCCTAATGGTTATAGTGACGACGCAGTTCGGCAAACTTGGCGAAAAGCACTTTCAATTGCAACTCTAGAAGTGTGGCGGAACTGTATATCCAAGTGCGAGAAACTAATAGAAGATTGTTGGACTTGTGAAGATAAAATAACGAAATAAGTCCAATCATAATAACAATGGTGATGACAGTGACGATTATGACTGATTTTCATTCTTGTTGGCAAGTTCAATTTTTTTATTTTTCATTTGAAATTCTCTACATGGAACAAATGTGTATGTTAGAAAATATTTTATTTGAGCTAAATAACCCTCTTAATATACATAGACCATATTTTCTGTGTGAAGGTTTAATTCTGCTCTCAATTATACAAAACATTCTCCATTATTATTTAATTAAAAAGTTGTACATTATCTTCATTTCATTTAAACAGTTGATATTTCCCCAAAGAGCAGGTCAAACTTTCGGGTACTTGCCTGAAAATACTCATAAAATTTTTAATCCGAAGCCCGCGTAAGTATAGCGAACAGACTGTAGTTCAAATGTGAGAAATTGTCGATATGTTTTATAAACGATTCGTTTTATATCTCTATATTTTTATTGTTGCTGACTTTTCATAGCTAGAAATAAAAGATAGCAATAATTATTATGCTACTAGGTATACACGAATCTACATAATCACATTTTGAAAAGTTATTGTCTTTTGTAACTAAGGCTATTATGTTTTTATGCTTTTTAAGAACAATATAATAATTAATACAATGATATTAAATAGATTTGTATTATTTTTTATTTAATAAAAATTAAGTTAAATAATCATTTTTTAATATTGTAATAAAATATTAATTACTTTAAGAGAGCACATACCTTTCTCTAGTCATTTTTTGAAAAATGAATGAAAACCCAAAGATAAGTGACATAGAATGAGAGTTCAAAGGATTTAAAGAAAATTTTACACACTTAAAAACATTTGTAAAAATCTTATTCTCCTAACTTTTTATTTTTATCACAGAAACATTTCTGAAATATGTCAATTGTTTGGACGGAGAAAGGTATAAATCCTCTTAGCTAAATTAATATTTTTTTCAGTATTTTTACATTCATATTTATTAAATTTTCCAGTATATATTTAAATTCAAGATATTAAAACGATGATTTTTTATAGTTTTCTTACATTTATAATTAAAAACAAGTTGAGTAATGAATCCAGGTTTATCACGTAAAAAATTATATAAAAATAAATAAAAATGTATTTTTTACACTATTATTTTTAATATACGCATATTATTTAATCAATAAAATAAATATACATTTATTTTTGGTATTGGGACAAAATAAACTTAATATGTGCTTAAAATTAACGAAACTTTAACGTTTTTACATAATTTAAAAAAGTTTCAAATGAAACATCTGTAAAATTGCTAATTACAATAATGTCACGTTTTCAGCGACATACCTGGAAACTGAATATGCAATAATAAAAGAATGTTAATCTTTTGTGTAGAATCCAAATTAGTATTAAAATACTTTTGAAATATTTGGATTTCAAAATACAATACAAAATTAAAACATTTAAAAACATCTACATTTAAATTCAATATGAATTTAAACTGGACAAGGTACTGACTGGAAGGATGGTTGAATAATACCACCTGGACCCGGCAGAAGCGATCTCTCCTTAATAAGAAACTCGTCTACGGCTCTAGCTGCTTGTCTACCTTCGGAAATCGCCCAAACTACAAGTGACTGTCCTCTTCGACAATCTAAAACGAAACAAATATTCAATTGTACCACTATAATGAAGATAACACAAAATCCCCAGCTAACATATTATACCGTTACTAAGCCTTTTGGCGATGTTGTTTTAAGGGAACGTAATGTTGTTGAGGAATCAAAACATCTCAAAACTTCCATTTGTGTTTAACCTAAATCAGATTGCAGTGCCTATTTCATTCATTAGATACCAAATACAAAATGATTTGGGTAGTTTCATTTCAACTACAATACAAAAAAGAATGGCGGATAAATCATTGTAAACGAGAAAATACATTTAGACCCAATGCCCAATGAATGTCTACAATTTACACCAAATGCTTATAAAAGAGATTTACAAAACAAACTTCTAAATCAAAGTAAAAATACATTTTAAAAATATTGTATTGTCGCAACCAGTCAAGAAATAAAAAAAAATTAACACGTTTTAACTCATCATTAAAAACCAAGCGTTTATCGCGACAATACCCTTGCTAAATCGTCGTTTGGCCGTAGATAGGATGTTCATATGCTAGCTGGGTCAGTACCACCGAATTTAAAAAAAAAACTGAATACAATTTTAAATATAATTACCTCCTGCAGCAAATACGTTTTCTACATTGGTTTTATAATCCTTTGTACTAAAGTTCGATCTAGGATCCAATGTAAGTTCCAGCTGATCTCCGATAGCCCTTTCTGGACCCAAGAAACCCATAGCGAGTAGAACTAAATCAGCTTTGAAGACTTTTTCGGTACCCGGTACTTGATTCATCACCCAACGGCCGGTGTCGTCTTTGACCCATTCAACATTGACGGTTTTAACACCGCTGACATGCCCTTTGCCATCATCTAAGAATTCTTGAGTCATGATACTGAATACCCTTGGATCGGAACCAAAGCGCACTTTAACCTAGAGAAAAAAAACACTAGAAGGTTTTCGATGATTCTAAAATAACCCCTACTATTTCAGATGGGCATTATTGCTAAATATAAATAGCAATACTGTCCCTATGAAATAGTAGGAACCCTGTATAAACTTACCTCATCGTGTCCATAATCGACCCTAAATACTCGAGGCCATTGCGGCCATGGATTGTCGTTTGGTCTTTTTGGTCCAGGTTCTGGTAAAATTTCGAAAGTGGTTATTGAAGCAGCACCTTGTCTCAGAGAAGTTGCTATGCAATCACAGCCTGTATCACCGCCGCCTATTATTATCACATTTTTATCTTTGGCATAAGGGCCCTCCAAATTAGCCCCCAACTGCTTCTTTTGCCAACCCTCCAAAAACTCCATAGCGAAGTGGATGCCATTAAGTTGGCGGCCTGTAAATAATAAAATCACCATTTGGATCAGGGGAGTTACAGTATAATACAAAAGATGATAATGTAATAATTGGCTTTATTATTAGTTGGAAATATACAGAATTTACCAAAAATTCTAAATAAGTATTTTAATGTTTAAAATTAAAAAGGAAGACACGTTTGAAAATGAAACAAACAATCAGGTTGTTAATCTAGTCAATGGCTACATTGAGCGTGACATTTTTAAAAAATACAACCATCACGTCAATTTTAGTTCATATAGAGAGGAGACAGAAAGAAAGGCTCTGGGGTAAACTCTCAGTCGAGTTCGGACTAAGGTCCAGAACTTTCGCCCGAGTGGCGAAAGCTCTCGTTTTTTTTTGTGGACTCTAAGTCCCAAAACAATGTGTAGAGTAAAGTTTTGTGTACGATTTTTAAATTATGGGTAAATATTTTTAACTTAATTTTAAAGTGTTTTGTTTAATAATAATTGATTGATTTACATATAAATGCCAATTATACATTTGCGTCTTAAATTATCATATTTATTTTATCCATATTTTTATATTATTATGTAGTTATAGTGCTTTATTCCCTAAATGAAATTTTATTCATTTTTTTTTTTAAATTATAATGTTTTAATACTTATTATTAATTTCTCCTCCCTTTCCAAACTAGTAAAATACTCCGAGCATTTGAGAAGCCTCGGCGTTTCTATTCCCTTAGGACTAAAAGAGTCTAAAACTAGTTGCCAAGAACCGCTCGACTATGCTATTAAAGGATAATTTTTATTCTTTTAATTTAATTTTTTATTATTTTTTTTTGTTTGCCAGTGGTGAATGGATGTTCCTTCTGGACTCCACGACCCTTTGGCTGGTGACGGCGCTGCCCTAATCCCTTAATAGTATATTAACAACAGTAGCTAAAGATCTATCAGTAGTTATATATGGTCTTTAGGCTAGTTGGTTGTTAGAATAATGCCAATACGATGACTTACCTGGCAGTGGTATATCTCTGGGCCACGTAGCCCCAGTCGTAAGTACAACAGCGTCGTATTCGTCACTTAACTCTTTTGCAGAAATATCTTTTCCTACGTTAACGTTCGTCTTAAAATCGATTCCCTCGGCTGCTAACAGATCGACCCTCCTTTGTACGACTTGTTTGCTCAGCTTCATCGTGGGAATTCCATACTGAAGTAGTCCTCCAATCCTGTCGTTTCTTTCGAAAACGGTTACGAGATGGCCGGCTTTGTTTAACTGGTTCGCACACGCCAATCCAGCCGGACCTGACCCGACTACGGCGACTCGTTTGCCCGTACGTTTATCGGGTATTTGTGGAACAATCCAACCGTTTTCAAATGCGTGGTCGATGATGGCACATTCGATGTTTTTTATTGTTACACTCGGTTCGGAGATGCCTAATACGCATGCGGCTTCGCACGGTGCCGGGCAAACCCTTCCAGTGAATTCTGGAAAGTTGTTGGTCTGCAAAAGATGATATAATGCTTGCCTCCATTGGTTTTGGAAAATCAGCAGGTTCCACTTTGGTATTATGTTACCCAACGGACAACCGTGCGAGTTGGATTGACAGAATGGAACACCGCACTCCATACATCTCGCTGCTTGAACTCGCAAACCTTTGCGTACGTGAGGGAAATTGTAAATTTCATCCCAGTCCTTCATTCGTTTATCTGCTGGACGATATGGGGCCATTTCTCTCTGATATTTCATAAAACCTATAAATATAATAGTAATAAATATAATATATAAATATAATTGTATTGACGTACCTCTTGTCTTATCTAGAGCCCTTTCAGCCTTTTTGATTTCTTGAGTGGCATCTCCAACAGTATCCTCGATGTCCTGAATCGTCGGTTCAGCAGGTTGGTTTTGAACGACTGGTGTTTCGGGAACTTTTTGTTGTTTAAGTGCTCTTTGATATTCGTATGGAAATACTTTTACGAATTCTCGTCTACGAGTGTCGAACTCATTTAAGAGCGTTTCGGCAACTAGACTTCCAGTGAGCTCCTGGAATTCTTTTAGCAAAGATTTAACTAGCTCCACGTCTTCTTTGTCTTCTAATTTACAAAGTTCTACCATTTCCATGTTGCATTTCATGGAGAACTTTCCGTCGATGTCCCATACGTAAGCGATACCACCCGACATCCCAGCAGCAAAATTTCTACCAGTGAGACCTGAAATATGTTTTATTATATTTATTTAGTTTAAAAAAAGTAAAGTTATATTTTACCTAAAATCACTACTATTCCACCAGTCATATATTCACAACCATGGTCACCAACTCCTTCTACTACAGCAATAGCTCCAGAATTTCTAACAGCAAAACGTTCTGAAGCGATACCTCTCATAAAAGCTTTACCAGATGTCGCTCCGTATAAGCACACATTCCCAACAATGACGTTTAGGTGAGATTCGAATGGAGAAGTTTTTGGAGGGTAGATTACGATGTTACCGCCGGAGAGACCTTTCCCTAAAATTTTTGGAAATTTAAACTATTCTACTAGAAATCCATCGTTTGGTTCTTGATAACTTACCTACATAGTCGTTGGCATCTCCTTCTAATGTTACATTGACACCTTTAGCTAAAAAGGCACAGAAACTTTGACCAGCAGATCCGGCGAGCTTGATGTTGATTTGGCTGCCATCAGGTAATCCTTCTTCATTGTATTTACTAAAAATCGACGGAATAGTAAACAAATTAAATAATAAAAGTTTTATGGAACGTTTTAACAAAAATATTTTTTACTAACCACGATATATGGTAGCTCAAAGTGGAACCAAAGGCTCTAGCTTCATTGTGAATTTTCAAATCAATGTCAACTGACTTTTGGACACCATCGATAACTGGCTTAGCTTTTTCTAACACCACATTATCCAACCTTAGTTCAAGTTGGAAATCAGGAGATATGGATCCTCCTTTAATATTAACTCCAGGTCTCATGTGAAGAGCATTTTGTAGTATAAGATTCAAATTAAGCGACTTAGCTTTTCTGCTACCGGTTTCTAATTCCTTGAGTAAATCTGTACGACCTACTAGTTCTTGATAAGTACGTACTCCAAGGTTAGCCATGTGCTCTCTTACTTCTTCGGCAAGCATAAATAGATAGTTGACGACGTGTTCTGGTTGGCCGGTGAACTTCTTTCTTAGCACAGGGTCCTGGGTGGCAATTCCAACGGGACAAGTATTTAAATGACACTTTCTCATCATAGTACAACCCATAACTATTAGAGGAGCAGTACTGAATCCAATCTCATCGGCACCGAGCAAAGCTGCAACTACTACATCGAATCCTAAACAAAAGACGAGAAACACCCAATAAGTTACGATTCTAGGCAACTAGAAACAAATATGTAGTTTATCTTAACAATATAAATCAAACTACTGCTAATATATCGTCCATTAAATCCTAAAACTATGCCCAAAACTAACCCTGCAATTACTAAATAAATTACTGAATAAATTAAATTACTAAATAAAATACTAAATAGAATACTAAATAAAATGCTGAATAGAATACTAAATAGAATGCTGAATAGAATACTAAATAATATTAATTAATTTTAGAAAACTAATGTAATACTCACCAGTTCTTATGTTTCCGTCAGCCTGAAGGACAATTCTGGACCTCAAATCGTTCAGTACCAGAACTTGATGAGTCTCGGCGACACCCAGCTCCCATGGCAGCCCGGCGCTCTTGATTCCGGTCCAAGAACTGGCTCCAGTACCACCATCATGACCAGATACTACGATGTGTTCGGCTTTGCCTTTAGCAACACCGGAGGCCACAACTCCTACGCCTACTTCCGAAACGAGTTTAACTGAAATACGCGCGACGGGGTTAGCGCACTTTAAATCGTAGATAAGTTCCGCTAAATCTTCGATGGAGTAGATGTCGTGATGAGGAGGTGGTGATATTAGACCTACACCTGGTACTGAATGTCTGGTTTTGGCGATTTCTTTAGATACTTTATAACTGAAAATAATTAAGATTTTAGTCGTTGTAGAATAAATTACAGTTGTGCGCTTACCCAGGCAGTTCGCCTCCTTCTCCCGGTTTCGCCCCTTGAGCCATCTTGATTTGCAAATCATCGGCATGTGCCAAGTATGATGAAGTGACACCGAAGCGACCAGAGGCTACTTGCTTGATAGCCGATCTTTTCTCTTTGTCCAAATATCTATCAGCATCTTCTCCACCTTCTCCAGTGTTACTTTTCCCACCAACTTTGTTCATGGCTACGGCGAGAGTCTGATGCGATTCCAGACTAATTGAGCCGAAACTCATGGCTCCCGTTGCGAATCTTTTTACAATTTCGGAGGCGGGTTCTACTTCATCCAATGATAAAGGTTGGTCTAAGGTTCTTAAAGTCAATCGTCCTCGTAACATACAATTCCTTACCGACTCCATGTTGGATTCCCTGAATTTATCATAAGCAGTTTTATTCTTGTTAACAGCAGCTTCCTAATAAGCAAAATATTTGTTAAAGTTGATAAATTAGGACAGTTATTTAGATTGTTTACCTGGAGGGCAGCAATACTGGCAGGTTCGTTCAAATGCTTTTCTCCACCAGCTCTCCAATGATAATTTCCAGCATCTCTGATAATTAGAGCATCAGGACTAACTTTGTAAGCATTTTGATGTCTCTCGAACGCTTCAGCTGCAAGTAACTCTAAATTAACGCCTCCCAATCTCGAAGGAGTGCCTTTAAAAGCTTTATCTACCACATCTTCAGCCAGTCCAACGGCTTCAAAAATTTGCGCGCCTTTATAGGACTGTAATGTCGATATTCCCATTTTTGCCATAACTTTGCTGATGCCAGTAGACATCGCTTGGGCGTAGTTTTGGAAAATTATTTCGTCAGTTAAATTGGTGTCGAGGATGCCTTGGTCGCGAAGGCTAGAAGCCAATTCTAAGGCTAGATATGGGCAAATAGCATCTGCGCCGTATCCGAGCAGGACGCAAATATGATGCACTTCTCTAGCTTCGGCCGTTTCTACTACTAAGGCTACTTTCATTCGGGAACGCGACTCGATCATGTAGTGATGGGTAGCGCCTGAAAATCATCATTTTCCATTTAATAAGAAGGTTTTTATAATGAGGTTTGTTTCAACAACGATCAGAAACCAGTCATTAACACCAGGATTCTGCGCAGTAGATTATTAGGATACCAAATTATATACTGCGCATAATCCTGGTTTTTGGATATTTTGATGTTACTTACCTAAAACCAGTAAACTACTAATAGGAACTCTATCTTTACCGCCTCGCCTATCAGACAAAACTATTATTTCATGTTTTTTGGAAGCTTCATTAGCTTCTTCGCAAATGCTCTGTAATTTTTTCAAAAACCCTGGTACGCCCTCGTCCACAGGTAAAGTAGTATCTATAACGTGTGCGCTCCAGTTTCTGTGAGTAGTTTGTTTTAAAACTTCCAAATCTGAGATGGAAATGATTGGATTTCTCAACCATAGTCTGTGCACCTACAAAGGTATTTAGAATTATTAAGGCGGCTGTTTAAAATTGACCTATTCAGAGTTCTGAGCCGTTACATATCTAAGACATTAACTATTTTCTCCAAGTTCGCTCGCTAGGCGAATAGCGTCAAACACATCATTGAGACAGAATAAAGAGGAGATGCCTTGACGATACTAAAAGTGTCCACACCTTTGCATTACATTTTAAAAATGTCTACAAAATCTTAGCTCTTTATCTTTTATTTTTAAATTCATTTGTAACTAAATTTAAATGCAAATAAACTCTCGCCTTAATTAATAGAGGGAACAATTCCAAATGTAGATGTAAAATGAAGAAGTTTGTATTTTATATTTACCTGTTTTGCGCTGGGCTGCAATATATTATCCTCGGGTCCAATGGGGCATTGTAGAGACATGACATTCTTTTCTCTGAAGGGATCAATCGGTGGGTTGGTAACTTGAGCGAATAGCTGTTTGAAATATTCATAAAGCAGCGGTGAAAAATTAGATAGACAAGCAAGAGGTACGTCGTTTCCCATACTGCCGAGTGCCTCTTTTCTGAAGTATAAGATAGGTAATCGATTATTATCGATTAATTGAAAATAATCGATTATTTTGATAATAACGATAACATATCAAATCGTAGATAAATCTTAATAACAATACACTCACTTGTTGTTGATCATTGGTAAAAGCAACATATGTACAGTCTCAATTGAATATCCATACAATGGTAATCTCTTGTCTCCTAAACCACTGGTTTCGTATTTAGGTTTGGTAGTTCCGCCAGCCTCTAAATGAGCCTTTCTAAGTTCCTCCATGGAAATCTTTGATTTTCAATTCAACATAAAATTAAAATTAAATATCTTAAACAATATTATAACTAATCAAGAATAATGTTAGGCAAAAGAATAAAAAGAAAGAAAAAATAATGTTTGCAAAATAAATAATATTTTGGCAACTCCATACTAGGCATAATAAAAGGTTAAATTAAAAAAAAAACACATAAAACAATAAAAAATGAGAAGAAAAATACAACAAAACTAAAAAATAAAATTCTCTAATACACGGTATGTAATTTGTTGCATATTCCAAATTTTCTTATATCTTTATTTTTAAAATTATATTAAATCAATGTAAAACAGGCACAGTGAATTTTAACTCCATAAGCTGACTGAATTAAAAATAAAAACAAAAACACCAAAAAACATAAGAATTAATTTAAATATATAGAAAAATATCAGACGCTACTGCTCTAACTTTAACCCAAACTCGCGAGTGCTCAAAATAACGTCAGCAACTCTAACGACAATCCGTAAAAGAAGCTAAATGCAATTCTTGTGGTTTGCAGTTAAAAATATAGTCTCATTAACTTTAACACATATAAAAAAATATTGGAATATGCATATAGGAACCTTGTGTGTCTAAAAAATCCCATCTACTACCAAAATAACTCCCAAAAAAAAACTGTTCTTCCTTTATTAATTGAAAAATAGGTATTAGTAACAAAAAAGAACTATGACAAACCCACATCAATTCTACACACATTTATTCTTTTAACTCACCATCTATAGTTCAATCGTAGTCATGTAAATAAAAAATCAGATTATTTTTTAGAATAATAATAATTATAATTGCAAATTACGTATTTTTAGATTAAAAATTAAACCATTTTGGAAATGAAGACATAATAATAAAAAATGTCAATTTGTCTTCATTTTAAAATGTGGTTAGATAATTGTTTTTTTTTGTTTATAAAATTACCTGTTCTTTTAGCCATACTGAGTGAGGTCTAGATTTTGCAATATCTTGCTTCAGCGTTACATCTTGAATGACAGTTTTTTCTTGAGTATCTACCAGTAACATTCTTCCTGGTTTCAAACGACTCTTCAGTATAACTTGGGAGGGATCTACGTCATATACACCAACCTACAATAAAATAAATAACATAAGTTTGTTTATATAAAGCTAATTTTAATAATTTTTCTTGTCAACCTATAAATGTACAACCAATGCCACAATTAAATAAAAAATACTTTACTAATCAACAAGTTTTGGGACTAATAAAACCAGAAAATGTTTTCAAACCAAATCAAATTCCAAAAAACCCTTTTTCCAATCAAAAAGACAATTTTATAATAACAGAAATATCCAAAATTATAATTCCAAATTTTACTTTTGAAGAATTACATTCTAATTTTGAAAATCCTAATCAAATTAAATTTGACAATGAATCGGTTAAAAAAGTCACCTGAATAGAATTTTCAGATACCGGCCTTAATTAATAACAAAAAGATAGTAGAATTGCACAATATTTCAAACAGTTCATTGCTTTATATCAAAATACGTAAATCCAAGCTAAAATTGTTAATTAATACAGGATGTTGTAGGTCCATAATAAAACCTTCAGTAACAAAGAAATATTTTCTGCAAACAATTAACCATTCAGAACTTATCTTATCCACAAGTATGGGATTAATTATCAAGCTTTTGCTGAGTTGAATTCTAATGATAAATACATAGATTTTATTCTGTATAACTTTCATGAATTTTTTGATGGCGTATTAGGTTTAAAGAATATGATAAACTTAAACTTGAATATAAACCTGACACAACAAAAGTTAGTAGGTATAAACGAGTTAATGAAGTGATTTCTTTAGATTCAAAAGATTATAAAAGTTTAAAATACTACTAATAAACCAATTAAAATAATTTTAAGAAACTCTATATGAAAATTTTAATAATGTACAAAATTAATAAAGATAAAGACATTGTCAATTTACTCAGCACTTCTCAAATAAACGAAGAAGACAAACAACAAATTACCAAATTGTGTAACGAATTTTCGGATATGTTCTTAAAACCCGGATACGAATAAGGGTTTATATCAAAAATTAAACACGTGTTCATGAAGAACTACTGATAAAATACCAGTATATACAAAATCCTAAAGGTACCCCTATGTTTTTAAAAATGAAGTATATATACAAATTCAAGAAATGTTGGACAAAGGATTAATTAGAACCTTAAGTAGCCCTTGGAGGTCATCTATTTGGATAATTTCAAAGAAAAAAGACGCTAGTAATGTTCAGAAATATAGATTAGTAGTAGACTATCGCAAAATAAATGAGAAAACTGTTAATAATAGATGTCCTATACCTAATATAACAGACATACTAGATAAATTAGGTCGCTCGCTTTATTTTAGTACGTTAGATTTAGCCAGTGCTTTCCATCAAATCCAAATAAGCGACTGCTCAATTAAAAAAACAACTTTCACCGTAGATGGTGCACATTATGAATACCTTAGAATGTCTTTCGGCCACAAAAATGCACCGTCAACCTTTTAAAGAGTGATGGATGAACTTCTAAAAGAAGTTCAAAATAAAATCGATATGGTCTATGTTCTATATGGACGATATTATTTTCTCTACAGGCTTAGATAAGCATATTCAGAATTTAAAATTAGTTTTAAAAAAACTACGCGATGCTAAACTCAAAATTCAGTTAGATAAATCCAAATTTCTTAGAATTATTAGGACAATCCTAATAAATTAGAAGCTATACAAAATATCCCTATACCCAAAACCCAAAAAGAAATTATGTTATTCCTTGGACTAATAGGATATTGTTACTAAACCAATGACTAGCTGTATGAAAAAAGATCAAAAAATAGAACACAATGAAGAAATTATAAGGATGAGATTAATAAGTCTATAATAAAAACGAAATCTTACCTCGCTCGCCATAATAAGAATATTATCTTTAGTAACATAGAATCTAGAAGGTCTAAGTCCGTTACGGTCCAAAATGGCACCTATAAGTCTACCATCAGTGAAGGATATCAACGCTGGTCCATCCCAAGGCTCCATTGTACAAGCCGCCCAATGGTAGTAGTCGCGTTTGTCCTCTGGCATCGTAGGATCGTTCTGCCAAGCTTCTGGTACCATCGTCATTACAGCCTGAGATATAAATAAACATAATTCGATAAATTTGATAAAGATTGATTTTGATCGTCACCTCAGGTAATGTTCTATTTCCAGCGTGTACTAAAAATTCCAGTACACAATCGGCCGATCCTGAATCAGACAGATTTGGTTCAACCACTGGATACAACGTTTTTAGTTTATCGCCTAAATCTTCATTTTTCATCACACCTTCTCTGGCTTTCATCAGGTTAACATTTCCTCTTAATGTGTTGATTTCTCCGTTATGAGCAAGCATTCTGAAAAATAAATGTAAGTACAAAAGTAGATTTTGAACAAAAAATGATTACCTTAAAGGATGGGCTCTTTCCCAACTGGGAAAAGTGTTTGTAGAGAACCTGGTGTGCACCAAAGCTAAATAAGTATCATACATTGGGTCCAATAAATCAGGGAAGTAAACCCATAATTGGTCAGATGTCAATTGACCTTTATAAACGACTGTTCGGCGACTCATTGAACAAATGTAAAATCGTTTTCCTGGAGCTGGAATTAAATGGCTTGCTCTTTTACGCAAAATGAAGTATGTTCTATCTTGCGTCATTTCGTCCGCTGGATTTTTCAATGTAACAAATACCTACCGCACAATAAAAATCTTTTATTAAGTATTGAAACATTGTGCATAATTAATCACTTGCCTGCCTCATGAATGGTTCAGAATTTTTGGCTACAGCGCCTATGGAGGAATTGTTGGTTGGTACGGTACGCCAAGCCAACACAGACACATCCAGTTCCTCTGCCAGCTCTCCAAATCTCTTCTCAGATTCCTGATGGTGCAACTTGTCCAGGAAAAATATACCAGTAGCATACTGGCCAAAAGACGGTAGTTGAATATTTTGTTCATCCCTACAAAAATAACAAATAGTTTCTTTTTCACATTGAATTAGACTGTACTCACTTAAGTTTAGCATAGTAGAAATCGTGTGGAATAGCAGTAAGTACACCTGCTCCATCTCCTGTATCATTGTCACAAGCGCATGCGCCGCGATGGTTCATAGATATGGCCAATCTGTGGGCATCAAGGATGATCTTATGTTGACGTTTGCCATCAATAGCAGCTATGAAGCCGACACCACACGCTTCTCTTTCGAACTGCGGGTCGTACAGGCCCTGCTTAGGAGGAGCCTGCCACGATTCAGCCATTTAATTTCTAAAACAAAAAATATCTTAAATTATTTGGAAGGTATTTAAAAGCGGCAGAAGCCTTTTAAGCAAGTGTTTTTTTAATCGTATTATGCTACTGGCGAACAAAATTCATATTTTGTCACTATACTAGAATAAAATATTGGAGGTGAGTCATAATGTATTGTGTAATCAACAATTTTGTTTTTAAATGAAAATTTCGACGAGAAGTAACAGAGGAATCAGCATAGGTGACGCGCAGCGTATCAAATATCAAATAATTATTTATTATTTGTTTCCAAAATTTATTAAATTACTTTGTCAATATTTTAATTTAACAAATATACATAGCTTAATAATATTAATAGGACTATTTACTTTGGCAATTGTCTTAACTTCTTTTTTTCGATTTACTTAACCGATTTTACAACTAATGCATTTTATTATCAAACAATTATTAAACTCAAAATAACTTTTAAAAAATTTGTTTATTAGCTTTTAAGATATTCTCTTTGCTTAATGTAGGTAAACAAGATAATGATTTTTATTAAACAATATATAAAAATTCATATATTAAAGTCCAGCGCTGCGCTTGCTCACTGCTACTTTTGATGTTGTTTTAAAAGCGAAACAGCAGAAAATTAAATTAATTACAATTATACATTATAGAAACATGGTTTCTAGAAACTTATCGTCTTCCTTGTTTTATTAATTCTCTATTCCTACATATTTCCAGGACTTGCATTGAATCACTTCTGGTACTTAATATAATAACTCGTATTTGCTCAAGAGTAATCTGATCAATTTTGGGGGCCTCCAATTTTATTTGCTGTATATTAAAGTCTATTTTGACTACACTACATTATATAATTCTAAAGTTCAAAACATTTAACTTTAGTTCAATGTTTTTAAATAATGTACTGAAGGATAAAATATTTTTTGATTTATTATAATTGGAAATAATTGATATTATAGACCGTCAGATAGTGACCGATTTAGGTGTCCCATTTTCGCAAACAAGCCTCGAAGAGGGTTGAAAAGTACAATCGATGTTGAGTAGAATAAAAAAAAAATTACGAGTGGTTCTTGGGGATAACACATGGAAAATTCGATTTTCCTTATCAGAAAAATGCACTTATACATTGGGGTCATTCAAGAAAATATGTTTTTCGGGCTAGTGACGACGTACATTTTCATACATTCGATGGGCTTGTGTGGAAAAATCGGACAAAATCTCGAAATTAATGAATTGCTAAACAGTCAAAAATATTCTGGCATTTTAATATTTAAAATTTACGTAAATCTGAATTTGCAGCTTCTTATGACTTCGGCAATCTATGAATAACATTTTTTGTCATTTTTGACAATGTTGTTGATCCTGTATCGAGTTTTGATTCATTCGGAAGTTTAAAAAATGTTGGAATTAATATTAAATGTTTCAACTGTTTACTGGTCTATAATCGCTTATGTACTCTTTAATTTTTTTATTAAAGTTTTGAGGGTCAGTTAGGTGGAATCGAAATATAGGTATCTATAAGGAAGAAGTTTCTGTTACGCAATAATAAATAATCATTAAAAATTGGTGTGAATTTGTTGATAGCAATTTATTAATGATATGGAATAGAGCAATGTGTAAAGTTGATCTGTTATCAATTATTTATTAATGAACTTATCTGTTGTTGTTTGTTGGTTTGTTCCAGGAAATTATAGTATCAAGATGATTATGAAGCAACTTTATTAAATAATAGCACAACTGTGTCCACATAGCCAGTTCACACGAGGGGCAAAATTGGGGTTTTAGTTTTATCGATAATTGCATTATTGAAAGATTCCATTGATTGCAAAAAATGGAAACGATTTTCATTTTTGTTTTTATTATTATTTCAGTTGGTATTGAGGTAGAAAACCTCATAGCACTTCAAAAAAACACATAAATTTGATAAATTGTTACCAACAATCTCACTTGTAGTACAATTTTTGTTGAGGGTGTTGAACACGTGGTACAGAAAAATGTAACAATGGCAGTACATTTTTTCTACCATGATCCACAAAATAATAAAACTGATTCAATTTTTTATTTGTCTTCGTATTACGTTTTGTGCTTCATTTGTTTATCGACATCGGATGCATCTGAGATGTTGGGAATTTTTGATCACGTGTAAATGTAGATGTTTTAAACAAAGGTGGTCACGTGGTAAAAATGATAATGACAATTTTAAGAAAATAATGATTAAATATATTATTCTGTAAATAGATGACTTGGGAGAACTTTTATACAAAAACAATATATCCAACACTTGAAGTAATATATGTTGTATTATTTTCAACATTCAGATTTGCAATTTTTTTTGTCTGCAACATGAATTTTTTTTTGTATTCCTAATTTTTTTCATCTGTAATAATTATGCCCATTAATGTGACTATGGAAAGTTATTTGTAAAGGTCATTAGCCCTTATAGTTCCAATTGCAATATAGTGCAGAATTTCCAAGTGAAAACTTTTTTTCTCGAATTTTTTAAAGAAAGTGTAAAATGAAAAAATTTTTAAAAATAAATTAAATTCCACTATATATGAAATATAAAACGGTGATTTTTACATGATAGTGTATCTATCTAATTTGGAAATTTATGACTTTTTACTACATACTACCTTTACTATTTTATTAAAACATTTTTAAATAGATTTTCTGCATTTTTTTTATCATTTAAAAATATTGTGTAATGCTATAGATAGCTACTTAAATTATTAAGTCAACTTATCTGTTATACATGTTTGTTTATTCTAATAATTTAAAATATCGTAATAAAAACCTCCAGGGTCAGGTTTATTTGATACGCCATTAGTACATTTAATGACGTCTAAAATTAATTTTAGTCAAGAACTTTGTTCTCGAAAAATGATTATTAGAAAAAAAAATACATATTATCTTTCAAGAGATTAAATTTCCAATCAGATATACCTAGATGTTTACCAAAGCATACAAGGTAAACTTATAAATATTTACTTTTTCATTTAATTGATCAAACGCATTTAGCTTGAATTTATAGTTGCATTTAATTTTATTTCCATATAAATTTGAAACTATAAAAGATAAAGAGCTGAGATTTGGTAGACATTTTTAAAATAAATCATAGCAGTTGCTGACGCCAATATAAATAATGCAATTAGATAATAAATGCAATAAATAATGCAAATAATAACGTAGAAAATGAAGAACTAAAATGCAAGCCGAAATTTCAACCATTGTATAAAGAACTATAGTAGGATAATCGCCATGTAAAAGTTATTGGAGGCAATCGCGCCCGACATCTATTGGTACAATCATTGAACTAACTATTTTATTTACTGGTTAGATACGCCCTCTACGTCAGATGTTAGAACTTTATAAGTGACAATTCCGTCAAATTAATTGTCAGTATATATTTTTTTAGTTATTTAGATTAAATATAAATAAAAATTAGTGATTCTTGAAAAGAATCAATAAATAATAGCATTCCACAAGATATTAGTCTATATTTAGAAATAAACTGAGATTTTAATGAAACTAAAAGCAGTCTGATTATCAGCGTTAAAAAGTAAAACTTTTTCATAAGTCTTCATAACGAAAATTTAAAGTACTTGTCTACGAATCGAAGGGTTCCGAGTTCAAACCCCCGAGTCACTTTTTTTTATTATTTTTAATTTTATTTTCTAAATTGGTAAAACTTAAATTAATTTCAAAACATTAATTTTACGATAATGACATCTAAATCTTCATGCTCAAATTTCGTCTTTTTGCTATGGCCACTCGGGATCATCAAATTATAATAGAATATTATAAGGTCCGGTAATTTTATTTAAATCTTTTGACAATGAAACTAAAAATGTGTGTGTCTAAAGGAGAAATATACCGAAAATAACAAGTATTTAAATTTTGCTAATAAATTTGTATTAGGTATGTGAAGAAAATACATCATTTTGGATTTGAATATACAGTGTGTCGCAAAATGTCTGCACCAAGAAAACGCACAAAATTACATTTTTCTTTAATCTACGTAAAAAAGTGCGAATTAAAATTTTTTTACTGAAAATTTATGGTACCTAACAGGGTTATTCATTATAAATTACCCTCTCTTTATGCTATAATAATTATTGTATAATGTTTACATTGACAGAATTTTGTAAAAATGTCATCAAATGACTATATCAGTGGTGTGCATATTTCTCAGGATTTAACATGAATATTTTTTAATAAAGATAGCATAGATATATATTTTATTCAATTTTCGAAATGATCTTTATTCTTTCCTGATTAATTAAACGTCGAATATCATAGATAATCTATGTCGAATATCTTATAAATATTTACACTTTTTCTTTCTCACTGTAAACTACCTATTTGGATTATTTTATTATCAAACATAATAATTGTGATTTTCATAGCTTTTACTTTAATAATGTTAACTTTTTCATGTTTACATTATCAACATTAAATTACTCGAGAACAGACGGTATAAGATAGGGTTATCAATAATATACATTTGTGAAATTAGAAAAAAAATATCCCAGAAATTTAATAACATAGAGGGTATCCCATTTAAAAAAGTTTATTTGTGTTGTATTCCGTGAAATCTGAATACGTGTTTTTATGGTATATTTAAAAAAAGTCAGTCATATTCACAAACATTTATTTAAAGCTTTTTTTGAATATGCAATAGTGGTTATAAAAGGTGTCTTTAATAATGAATAATCTTGTACATGATCTCAAATAAATTTGTTGAAATTAATTTCATTTGTAAAAATGTCACTTCCGCTTCTCCCGTATTGCTAAAAAAAAATTGTGTCCAGGTCCAGGATTTGATGGTGGTAAATATTAATTCTAGATACATTTTTCAAGTAACATTGTTCTCCTGTTTTTAGATATAAAGGTTAAGGTTTAGCCAAATTCATATATTTTTTTTGGACACGCAGTATGTTTGTATAATATTAAAAACTTCCCCTACTAAATATTTTGGCTCAATCAAAGTAGATATCTTAAATTGATTATTG